GTGTTTAGTCCTGGAATGTTGAACCGGATTTCTAGACATGCTTATAGCACTTGTATTATCACAGAGCAAAGGAATAGTTGAGACACTGATTTTATAATCTTTGAGTTGATTTTTGAGCCAAATAAGTTGAGTACAGCAGCTTCCAGCTGCAATGTACTCAGCCTCGGCTGTAGACAGGGCAACAGCTCCCTGTTTTTTGCATGACCAAGATATTAATGAAGTTCCTACAAACTGGCAAGTGCCAGTAGTACTTTTTCTATCCGAGAGGCTACCAGCAAAATCAGAGTCGCTGTACCCTAAGAGGTTAAAATTTTCATGACGAGGGTACCATAAACCTACTTCTGGAGTGCCCTTTAGATATCTAAAAATCCGTTTAACAGCACTCAGATGGCTTTCTTTAGGTGCAGATTGAAATATGGCACAGAGGCATACACTATGTTGTATGTTTGGCCTGCTAGCAGTTAGGTAGAGTAATGATCCAATCATCCCACGGTATTTTTTCTCATCTACTGGTTTTCCAGAAGGGTCTTTGTCAATTTTAAGATTAGTTGCCATGGGAGTAGGACTAGAATTTATAGAATTCATGTGAAATTTGAGAAGCATTTTTTGTAGATATTTGGATTGATTGATAAAGATTCCAGAAGAGTTTTGCTTAACTTGCAGACCAAGAAAAAACTTTAACTCTCCCATCATGCTCATCTCAAAGACAGATTGCATGGTTTCAGAGAATTCAGTACATAAGTTAGGGTCACTAGAGCCAAATACTATATCATCTACATAAATCTGAACAATCAGAATGTGTTCAGATACATGTTTTATGAATAAGGTTTTATCTATGCTACCCTGAACGAAGGATTTTTCAATAAGAAAGGATGATAGACGTTCAAACCAAGCTCTAGGAGCCTGTTTGAGACCATAAAGAGCTTTATTTAGTTTGTAGACATAGTCAGGGCGTTCAAAATCAGTAAATCCTGGTGGTTGAGCTACATAAACTTCCTCATGTATCAGGCCATTAAGAAATGCACTCTTTACATCCATTTGGTATAAAGGAAATCCCATAAAACTTGCAAAAGCACACAGAAGTCTTATGGATTCAAGCCTAGCAACTGGAGCAAATGTTTCATCGAAGTCAATACCTTCTTCTTGAAGGTATCCCTGAGCAACAAGTCTAGATTTGTTCCTAACCACAATGTTATCCTCATCAGATTTATTCCTATATATCCATTTAGTGCCAATGACTGTGACATTTTCAGGTCTGGGAACTAAATCCCAAACATGTAGATGTTCAAATTGATTTAGTTCTTCTACCATAGACATACCCCACTCTTCATCTTGTATAGCTTCTTTCCAGTTTTTAGGTTCAAATTGTGAGACAAAAGCATATTGACCCGGGGTATACTTACCTCTAGTTTGTAAGCCATCACTTAGTTTACCAATGACTTGGCTTTCAGGGTGTCTCTTTTGTATATGTGGAGGAGCTTTAGGAACATCAGCAGGGAATTCAGTGTCTTCTAATGGTTTAGCTGGTAGGTCTGTTTCCTGAGTTTTGTCTTGCTTACTGCTCATATCTTGAGAGGGAGTAGTTAATTCACTTAAGTCAAGTGTGATTGGGTTGTCTGTTATAACAGTTTCTGTTTCATTGAATATTACATGTACTGATTCTTCAACTTTTCTTGTTCGATTGTTAAAGACTCTATAAGCCTGACCTTTAGATGAGTATCCTAGAAAAGTGGCAGGATCTGATTTGGCATCAAACTTTCCTAGAGAGTCTTTTGTGTTTAGAGTGTAACAAGGACATCCAAAAGGGTGAAAGTATGATATCTTGGGAGTTTTACCTTTTAGAATTTCATAAAGGGTCTTGTTTAGTTGTTTTCTGATTAAAACACGATTTATGACATAACAAGCAGTGTTTACTGATTCTGCCCAAAAGAACTTAGGTAAATTGTAATCTAAAAGCATGGTTCTAGCACATTCTATTAAGGTTCTGTTTTTACGCTCAACTACTCCATTTTGTTGAGGTGAGCGAGGAGCAGAAAAAGTATGAAAGATTCCATACTTGTCACAGAAGTCAGAAAATTCATCAGATATGAATTCTCCCCCATTATCGCTTCTAATGTTTTTTAGAGATTGTTTATTCATATTGACAAAGAAACGAAATTTTTCAAAAGTCTCGTCCTTGTGAGTCAAGAAAAAGACCCAAGTGTACCTAGAATAGTCATCAACCAGTACAAAAACGTAGTTTTTTCTTCCTAAGCTTGTTACATTACATGGACCAAACAGGTCCATGTGAATTAATTCGAAAGTATTTGAGGTAGTGATATCAGGTTTAGGTTTAAAACTCTTTCTCTTATGTTTTCCAGCAGCACAGGCATTACAGAAGAATTCTGCTTTGTCTTTTAGCCTAGGTAATCCCCTGGCTAAATTAGATTTTGACAGAGCAGACAGTTTAGTCAAACTAATGTGTCCTAGCCTTTTATGCCACAGAAATTCAGACGAGTGGGATGAGGCTTGAAGGCACTTAGCATTAAACATGCTGGGATCATTCAGATCAACCATATACATGTTGTTAACCCTTTTTCCTACTAAGATGATTTTGTTTTCATTAATTTGTTCCACTGAGCATTTGTCATTTTCAAACATAACACGATTCCCATTACTGCATAGTTGACTGATGGACAGCAGATTATGTTTTAAACCATTTACTAAAAGAACATCTTTTATCACAGGAGAGGGATTATTTCCTATACACCCTGACCCGACAATCATTCCCTGACTATCATCCCCAAAAGTAACTTTACCCCCTCGTTTCATAGTCAATGAACTGAATAGATGTTTTTTACCAGACATGTGATGAGAACAACCACTATCAAGAAACCATTTTGAGTCATTCATAGAGAGTGAGGGATTCTGACCTGATATGAAGTCCTGTTCTGAATTATTTACCTTACTGAAAGCCATAAATGCTTCCTCATCTCCTTGATCATCTTCTTCTTCATCAGTTTCATAATCGCTCCAGGTGGTAGCCTTCATTGCTCGTTCCTTTGCTTTCAATGTGAGTGGACAGTTGGCCCTGATGTGGCCAGGTTTACCACACTTGTAGCAGTCTTGAGTTTCTTTTTCAGAGTTACCTGGATCAAAAGATCTGGTCTGCGGGACTCGCAGCCTGTTTTGAGAGAAGCTTTTGACTTTGTCAAAAGGGTTAGATCGATTATAGGAGTTCTTTTAATTTCCCTTTTGTTTTTGTTCTTGTTTGTATTTCAACATCCTATGAAATTTGCTACTGACCAGAGCAAATTCCCTATCAAATTCTTCTCCCAATTCAGAATCAGACTCATATTCTACAACTTGAGACTTAAAAGCTAACGATTTCCTTCTTTTTTCATCATCCTTATTTACTTGTTTAAGGACATGTTCGTGACTCAGTAAAGACCCCACAAGTTCATCTATTGATAAAGTATTTAAGTTTCGAGCCTCCTCTATGGCTGTTCTCTTGGGAAGCCATTCTTTAGGAAGAGATCTTAGAAGTTTTCTGTTTAGGTCTTTTGCAGGATAAGTTTTTCCTAATCCTTTTAGCTTATTTATCAGAAGAGTAAATCTAGAGTACATTTCATGAATACCCTCACCTGGAGCCATGTCGAAGCACTCATATTCGTGGACCAACAGATCGATTCTGGTCTCCTTGATGTTCGATGAACCCTCATAGGTACTTTCCAATGAACTCCATATTCCTTGCGCGGTTTCGCAGTGTTCTACTTTGTCTGCCTCTTCAGGTGACATCGCCGTCTGAAGAATATGCATGGCCCTCTGATTCAACTGAGCGTTCTTCTTTTGAGCGGCCGACCAAAAGTTTTGTTGGTCCACGTCCATCTCGATCGGTCCATCGCGCACGACGGTCCACAGCTCCTCGTCGACTCCCCAGAGAAAGGTCTTCATTCTCTTTTTCCAGGCGGTGTAGTTCGACCCCGTGAAGACTGGTGGATGGTTGTACGACGCGTGACCGAAGTTGTTGGACGCCATCGCAGGATCTTCCCTTGGCAGTAGCTAGCTTCAATCAAGGACCTGCTCTGATACCACTTGTAATCAGAGAGTTTTTAGAGTTTTTGGAGAAGAACAAACGAAAGAAATGTCGAAGAAGGAATTGAACGGAAGAGTTAGGGATTTTGACTAGTTAGTCAAACAGCCAGATCAAACCGGTTGAAATCATTCGGTTAGACCTCCTAACTCGATCAGTTCGACGGACTGGATTTCGATAGAATGGGCCTTGCCCTGATAAGCCCACAAATCAATTATTTTGATCCAGTGCTTTTACAGGTTCCAGCCCAGACCCGAACTCAGGTGAGAAGAGACAGAAGAGTCGTCTTCTTCCCCTGGCCAGATTGCTGTCGAAACAGAGGACTGGAAAAACAGAGAGAGGTGAGAGAGAAGAACACAGAGCAGAAAGTAAAGTGCACAGCGATATTTTTTAACGAGGTTCGCCACTGGGCTACTCCTCGTCCCAGGATAGTACTTCACTATCCTGAGAGACACTTTGATTTTCTTTATTGATTCAAAAATCAAACTGAAAACAAGGTTACAGACTCTGTGAGAAAATCAAAATGTCAAGACACTAAGACCAGAATTCTCGCAGGAATTCTTTACAACCTTTGATCAAGCTGAACCTGTTCCTCAGCTTGATTCAAAGCCACTGATGCCCTAAACCCAATCCCTTAGCCCTTTACCACTGAGAGATCCCTGTTTGCTTCAGTACCCATTCCTTCTCGGCTGCTTGCTTAAATATACCTCTTGAATAGCCGTTGGAATTTGAACTTTGGACTGAAAAGGTAAGTGGAGCAGATGGTGATCGAGATCCTTGATAGATTGATATGCTCCCCCTTAATTTGATCTGCTCCCCCTTAATTTGATTCTGGCAATCTTCTAACTTGATCTCAACAAAGTGTCCAATCAAAATGAAAAAGCAAACTGGCTAGGATAAGTTTCACGATCGCCATTCCAAAAGAAATTCAAGGACATATCCTTCTTCCAGCACCAAATGGAATGAAGTGAAAATCGGTCCCCTTATAATCAGTTGAGCAATCCATAAATCTTTCCGGGAAGAATCTCTCAGCCTCCGTCCAATAACGAGGATCTCGATTGATCATCCAGGCATTCACGATGACTTTGGTGTTCACCGGGACGTCATATGAATTGAGCTTCACCTTCTTATCTCTATTTTCTCTGGGAGCAAGTAAAGGAACGGGTGGGTGCAATCTCAAACTCTCGGCAATAACCATATCCAAATACTTCAACCGATCAAGCTTCGCTTCGTCGAAATGGCTTTGACCATCACCGATATATACTTGTCTGACCTCTTGTCGTGCTTTTTGTAGCACTCTCGAATCTCTTATCATTTCTGACATAGTCCACTCCGTTACCGTCTTGGATGCCTCAATGCCAGCCACGTATAATACCCGTATAACACGTTTAATATCCGTATTTAATGAATTAAATTGTTAACTTTAATATTATTTATATATTTATTTATTTTTAAAATAATTAATTTATATATTTATGACTATTAACGTACTATTAAACGTATCGTTAGGTCGGAGACGAAATAAAATACTTATACATATTTTTTCCGTACCGTATTCTTGGGACGCTCGCTAAGGTTAATATTTTTAGTGGTACTAGCCCTTACTCTTACATGATAGGATTTAATTATTATTATTATTATTATTATTATTATTATTATTGGTAGTAGCATCATCATCAATCATCATCTTGCCGGCGTGAGGATGGAGAGAAACTTTTGGAAGAAATAATTATTGGAGAGTAATATCGGGGCAAAGATAATTACTCGCAAATAATTAAAATCTACCATTTTGTTGCGAGAAAAAGATATTATTTGAAATTTTGTCAAATTCTACAGATAAAATTGGTGAATATTTTGGAAGGAATGTAACTATTATTGTAAGCGGATCAGTGATTGGACAAGTAGAACCATTAAGCTTGTTACAATAGCAGTTCAGTTCATTAGTTTGAACGGCTAAGTATGAGCCCAACGGTTTGTACATAAAACTAGAAATAACCCACATCAATTTGACTAATACCGCTTGCTACCACTTTTAGATAAAGGCGACCTATCTATTTCAAAGTCAGAACGTGCTCAGCCTGGTGATTATTGGAAATTAATCAGAACACAGGCTAGCAAACACTAACAGCTGACTGCGACCAAATATTAGAGTGGGTTAGTTGGCTGATTGCCTTAATTACTCGTTTGTCGACTTCCATTGTTGGAACTTATTCCATTTGAAGTAATTTATTTATTGAGAAATATCATTCATATCATCATATATATGCCACTTGCGGTGTTCCAATGACCATTTCCAGGCTCCAGCGGCAATCAATAAACTAGCTAGCTTATCCCTTTGTTCTAGCTTAGCCTTGTGCTTATCTGAAGCACAGGCTAGCAGTACACTGATTGTGACGAAGCGGCGTCGTTGCTTATCAAGTTACAACCATACAAAGCTCAATAGTTGACATCAAATGAGATGAATGTGTATCAGATAACGAGTTTTATGCTCAGATCGATGAGGCTAGAGTATCCCTTAAACGAGATAATTTTGCTAAGAAGTTAACATTATGATAATACTATCACTATGTTTTGGAGCAGGGAGAAAGGAGAGGAAGAGTAAATTTAGGAAGAAAGTGTGTTTTAGAGAAACCATTTAGATTATGGAAACAATATACATACCTTACCCAGACCCCAATCTACAAACCCCCAAACCCATAAATACTTTATCCATACCCTACCAATTATCAATGGGTCTATTTGGGTATGTATATAATTACCCATGGATAAGTAATTGTCATCCCTAATTACTGGGCGTCCAAGTTCTACAAGTACAGTAGTTTTATATAATATTGTCTTGCTTCCATGAATTGGTCGATTTTAACCTCTTCTGCTTCTTCTCTTTTATGTGTTTCGCTACATTGTTGTGCCTTTGCCTACACACATTCCCTTAGAATCATGTGTCTTTTGAGAATTGACCTTTTTCATATATTTCGAATTAACCGGGGTTATATGGGCTAAATCAGTCAAACCATTAATGCTTAACTACTTGTTGGATGGGGTTAATGCGCGAAACCGGAATGACAACCTTGTGAATTGTGACCATTTCGTCTCTCATTTTTTAACCCTATTTGTTCTAATTCTTGCTTTAGATTTTTGTTGTCTTAATTTTTCTTGCTAAAAATTTCACCACTTAATGAGCTCTTATGAAAAAAGAATAACAAAAAAAGAATGACAAGATCTCTCGATCACATGCTTGCTTATATAATTCCAAAAATTCATTAATACGATAATTGTACTTTTGAAAAGAGATCGTGTAACAGACAAGTGGATTTAAATACAACCCATCGTTGACTGTACCAATTTTTCGGTTAAAATTTGATCATCTAAACAACAAAAATTTTGCCGGTAAAACTTGAAATTGAATTATCTTTCAGAATAATTCTTGTAAAGTCGCCACTGATGTAGTGATGCTGTAATGCATATGCAAATATGGACTCCCAAGAATCAAGATATCCCTGTCGAGTGTTGGCAACATACCCAACCACTTTAGAAAAAAAAAAAAACTTATGATAGAAAATATATGGATTGATTAAACAAATGATTTTGCAATATGATTAATTAGATGGGAATCAAAACTTAAAGCTGTTCGTTTCATGCCATCGTTTAGACTATAGTCCAAACTCCAAACCATTGATAGTTTATAATTAATGGATAAGGTGTTTGCTTTGAGATGGATTGACATCGACCTCCCACACTTGGAGTTTTTATTATATATTTGGTAAAAAGTTTTTCAATTCTCAATCCTTTCCCCCACTTGCTATTGTCATCTTGGAACCAGGATTGCCCCTTTAATTGATTCATTTCACACGAGCATAGGGTTGAAAATTGGCCATCCTCCCTCCCCACTTTACAATTTTCTATTGGACGGCTAAATCGGTGTAGTCAATTGGGACAAGAGTTTTCATCTTTCATTCAAACCAACAAAAATAAGAGTTCTAAATGAATTTATGCAATTGGTTAGTGGATGAATGTAGCAAATGAAGTTGCAATTAGTCCACTACTTCTAGTATACAATTTTAAACAATGAATAACACCCTCCTAACTTTCCTATAAAGTGATGATATTTAATTAGAAGAAGAATTGGTCTTTAAATATGAAAGAGGAGTCAAATTTTAATGTGGGGAGCAACTGATGCTATATGCTAAAAAAAAAACTTAAATATTATGGTTAGAAACTTGGAACTATACAAGACATACTATTTACAATGTAACATATGATCGATCGAAGGCCGAGCTCAATCACTAGAAGGAAAACCCTAATGAATAAAAATACCCAAATACACATGCGTACTATCCAAGAAAAGTTCCATCTGCCCTACTGAAAAATATAAATGTTAAGGTCGAAGTTTAGTATTGTTGACATGTGGTGTTTTCATTGGGATTGTGACAATAAAAAGAAAACAATCGATTTAGTTACTTATTTTTGTGATTAAGTGCCGATTTAAGTATGAATGTAACCCCATTTTTCATAAACATAACTTTCATTGACAATGCTTTTTATGTCACTAAGAGAATATCTCAACAATACAACATGCCTCAATTCAATCAACACAAAATCGGGAGAATGCTCTATCAATACAATAGGTAGAATCTCAATCACAATCTAGGGGGAAACTTGATTGAAATAGAGAAAAATTCTAATCTAAAGCTCAAAACAAAGATAAAAATCAAATTTATGTGAAAACTAACCCTAAAATCCGAGTTTCAGCCTTTATATAGGTTTGGTCAATTAAAAATAACTAAATAATTTAAAAACACAAAATCCCGTCACCCCTGGTTCAATCCCCGGTCGGACACTAAAAATACCTGGTTGAGGTTTTTCCTCACCCGGTCGGGGTGCCTTCTGTCCCCATTACCCGGCCTCCTTTCCCATTCCCCGATTGGGGAATTCGCCACTGCCAGTCGAGGATTCTCTTTATGTCTGTCCATCGTCCCCCGCTCTCTTGACAATCGAAACCGTATTACGCACTTTACCATTAGTCGTTAACCGCAAATCGTATGTTGCGCGATCACGGTCTCACGGATAGCATATATAGCTCCCTTTCGGATGCGTTCCTTCGCTAAATAATGCATAGCACAAGACCAAAATGGTATTAACTATTAACTCACGTCAAAACAATTTAAAAGTCAAAGAGGTTTCATCTTTTTTCTTTTTCTCAAGAGTTGAAAATTGAAATAATGTTCTGGAAATAAATGCGACTATTGCCACAATGCCACTTGCCACCTTCCCAAATTTCCTAGTCTTTATTTTTATTACATGAATCCCACTTTAAACAGGACTGCAGTTAGGTTACTCTTATTAGTTATATCAGTAATTACTTAACCAAATGAACTCATGAACCCAAAAACTCAAAACATAGGTTTTCTCCAGTCAACACAATTCCCATTCGCGATTAGTGCCTCGCACCAGCAAAAAAAGTCTCACAAACCCACCCACTATCTAAGTCGTGATTTCACCCCAAACCAATCAAAAACCCTGTTACTTTATCAATAAGATATTGGGTTCTAGATTGGAAAAGTATTCAGCTTGAACGAGTCACACGAGTCCCTGGAAATGAAAAATGGTCTCATGAGAGAGTGAGTGGATGATGCATACAATTTTTTTTCTGGTGCGTGTGGACCGTTAGATGATCTCGCCCATGGTTGCTTGATGACAAACTTTAGTCAGCCAAGTTGTTGGTGTAGACAAGAGAAAAGCAACAGCCATAGTTTATTATCTCATCCCACACAGTACAGACACAGGTAAAAGCGATAGAAACTACTCCTAAAGCTTCCTCCTTTCCTCTTATCTCGTCTTCTCTGAAGCAAAAGTTACAATCTTGGGTTGATAGTTCGAGGTAATTGTAAAATCTTCTTTGCTAAGCAGGTTGGTTTCCTTTACCAGCTGTTCTTCTTCTTCTTGTTTTCTTATTTGGATGTATTCTGATCGTGGGTCGTCGGAGTTTCATATAATAAAATTGGATTTGGTTTAGATTTTTTCCATGTTTGTTTTTGTGTTCTCCTTCTCTGTGGTTTTTCTTGTTGTTGCAGTTCGACTCACCTAACCCTCTATCTCTCTGCCTCTAAAATCCAAAACACCTACCTTGTAAAATTGGGATATCTAGCCTTTTCATTTCTGATCTGCCGGCTTTTGGGTCAAACCCTTTTGTTTCTGTAGATACAAAACTTCGTGTCGAAGTTTATGTACTCTATCCCTTCTGGGTTCTTCAGGGCAGCTTAGTGGCAGTTCAGTCATACAGAGTCTCGTCTCTTGCTTTCTTTGTTGAGCGATCCTTTATCAAGCATCAGGGTACTTGGTTCTTGGCTTGTATTTATTTATCATCTTGAGTTGTTTCTGTTGCTTCATCTCGATTATTAGACCATTCTTTGTTTTGCTTCTTTGTCTATTTTAGTTGATTCAGGATGACTTTTGATGGGTGTTTAGGGTTTTACCTTTTACTGGGTTCTTCTTCAATTCTCATGTATTGTGTTTCTTATCATGGAATTGCTATCGATGTGTGATTTCATCTTCGATTACCTTGTTTCCTTTATTGTGCTTCTTGATTCGCTAGAAATATATGTATTGATGGGTCGGATATTCTGAAGTTTGATTTATTTTTCCAGAAGTCAATCATCCACGCTAGAAATTGATGAGATAAGTAAAAGCCTTTGCAAGGTCTTTTCTTGTCTATGCATATTCCAGAAGACTGAATTTGACCTTTTGGTTGATTTCCATGATCATCAGTTTTACCTCAATAATCTGAATTTTCTTCACATAGCTGGAGATGGAACCCCATTAGTGTGTCAGGGGCACAAAGTCCTCATAATTAAAGAGGTCTTTGTGTTTCCTGAATCACTAGGGTTCTTTAAGCTATGCACTGATAAGTTTCCCACAGTATTGTAAATATGCGAGCTGTGGTATTAGTTTCAGGAAACTAGCTTATCATTAGTATTGGTGTTTGTTCTTGCTGTCTGCTGAAATTCCAGAATTCGTGCATGGCAAGATTCTCATTTCTTCTCATTGCTAAATGCAGGCATCTTGTAAGAGCTTCTAAAGAGACTTCCTCTTTTGACAGTTTCAAGTGCTATTTCTGCATTTCCATCATAAGAACAGGTGAGAGGAAATATAAGATACCTACTCATTTGAGTTGCACTTTCCTGCTCTTGCTCTATGGGGACATTCTGGCTTGGTGCTCATCCATTTGACTGATGCAGGTTTCCTTCACTCACTCCATGATAATAAAACCGAACCGGTATCGAATTGAAGAGCCAATGTCTCTGGTGAGACCAGCACAGCTTTCATCAACAACACCTTATGGAAATCATAAACTTTATCCTCTCAAGGGAAGCAGTGAGGAGTCTGGTTTGTCCACTCAAATATTTAGCACTGATAGGAACAGTGCAGACATGTACACTACTGATTCTTATTCCAGCGAGAGTTATGAGCAGTACTTCCTCGACTCACCTTCGGAGGAACTAATCCAACCATCCAGTTCTGGGAATTCTGGGAATTCATTTAACCCTCGCGATGCTTCCTACCAACTTAGAGCTGGGTCTGATTCTTCCTTAGCTGGTGATGACCCATACAAGACTTATGTATTCAATTCTGAACCTGATTTCCTGGATTTCCAAATCCCTGATAATGGAGAAGAATTCAATGAAGACCAAATGAAGACGAAGCTTCAGGAGCTGGAGAGAGCACTGCTCGATGACAATGGAGAAGATGATGAAGATGGAAATAGCCATAGCATGGATATTGAAGGTGAATGGTCTGATCAAGTGAAGAATCCAATGCTCTACGACTCGCCCAAGGAGTCTACTTCTTCAGATTCTAACCTCAGTAGCATTGGCAATTGTAAAGAAGTATGTCAGCTATCTCCTCGGACACCCAAACGTTTGCTCTTCGAATGTGCTAATGCAATCTCAGAAGGAAACATGGAGGAAGCATCGACTATAATAACTGAGCTCCGGCAGATGGTCTCTGTCCAAGGAGATCCTTCATCTAGAATTGCTGCGTACATGGTTGAAGGTCTTGCCGCTAAAATAGCTTCCTCTGGTAAATACCTCTACAAAGCTCTGAAATGCAAAGAGCCACCTTCCTCTGATAGGCTTGCTGCAATGCAGATACTCTTTGAGATTTGCCCTTGTTTTAAATTTGGGTTCATGGCTGCAAATGGTGCAATGATTGAAGCTTTCAAAGGAGAAAAGCGAGTGCACATAGTAGACTTTGACATTAACCAAGGAAATCAGTACATAACACTGATACAAACACTTGCAAACCAAGGAGGTAAGCTGCCTTATCTGCGGCTGACTGGTGTCGATGATCCTGAGTCTGTTCAACGACCAAATGGTGGCCTAGTCATGATTGGGTTGAGGCTCGAGCAGCTAGCGGAAGCTCTCAAGGTCCCCTTTGAATTCCACACAGTGGCTTCCACAACATCACTCGTTAGTCCATCGATGCTCGATTGCAGGCCTGGGGAAGCCCTAATCGTAAATTTTGCCTTCCAGCTTCACCACATGCCCGATGAAAGTGTCTCAACTGTGAATGAGAGAGACCAGCTGCTCCGAATGGTTAAAAGCCTCAACCCAAAGCTTGTGACTGTCGTCGAGCAAGATGTCAACACAAACACTACCCCCTTCCTCCCAAGGTTTGTCGAAGCTTACAACTACTACTCAGCTGTTTATGAGTCGCTTGATGTAACTCTTCCTAGGGAAAGCCAGGATCGGATCAATGTCGAGAGGCAGTGTCTGGCTAGAGACATAGTTAATGTAGTAGCATGCGAGGGTAAGGAGAGGATCGAGCGTTATGAGGTTGCTGGGAAATGGAGAGCAAGAATGACGATGGCTGGCTTCATGCCGCGTGTAATGGGTCCAAATGTGGTGGACATGATAAGAAAGCTCATCAAAGAGTACTGCGACAGGTACACATTGAAAGAGGAGATGAGCGCCCTCCATTTTGGTTGGGAAGACAAAAGCTTGATCTTTGCTTCAGCGTGGAGGTGAAGGTGGTTAACCATGACATTGTTTTCTCTGCTTAGTTCATGTACTCTAAATACTTTTCTTGTGCGTACTGAAAAAATAATGATTCAGTGTTATACAGAGAGTGTGAAGTTTGACAGGATTAATATAGGGTGCTAGTCTCAAACTTCAATGAAACCTGTCCCATGAAAGTTTCATGTTTCCGTACCAGTCTTTGAGTTACCGTTTTGATGACAGAGTTACATGTAAATGGAGCAACTTGTTGACTTGCTCAAAGGTATCTTGTTTGTGCCCATGACTGGAGTTGAAGAAACTGAAATCCCTGAACTGTGCTGGAAAACATCAAACTTAAATTGCTGAAAGTACATGGTAAATACTGAATGTTGTCCGCTGTTGTACCAAGTTAAAACCTCATATGGTTTATCAGAATTTTACCAAGTTAGCAATTGCTTTGTAGTGATTCTTCTATTAACTCATTACCTCACAGAGTTACAATGCTGCACTATAGTACTATTTTACAAACACTAGCATTCTTATATCACGATTTTACAAAGACTAGTTTCGGCAAAGAAGACACCCCTTTCTACCAAAAAAAGAAGACACCCCTACAGGCAGCAGCATTGCAGTAACCCGGGCCATGTTCTTTTTAGGCAGAATGAACAAGATGAAACGACTGGGAGGCAGCTGCGCAACGATTACTTCCAATTTTCATATCGTAGTATTTGATTATGATATTACATAACAATCTGGTAATACAATTTTTTTCCACTGGTTGGCTGGCAAATTTACATAGGAACAAAATTTGAAGTTCTACAACTTCCTATAGTACCATCCAACTCATGGCAGGCCAAGAAACTTGCTAGTTCTTCAAGCCTAGGAAACACAAAGCTACTTCTGCTTGGGCTTGAAGCTCTTCCAAGACCTTCAGAATGCTCTCCCTACTCATCTTCGTCTCGCTTTGGTCCCCTAACATCTTCCTCAGTCTTCAACAAACAACAGAAGAAACAAGGGTGAATATCAACTGACTGAGAATGTGAAAGAATTGATGTTTGAAATAACATCTGATGATATACTTACTTCCGGACAATTGCCGTGTCTCCATGGCCGGTGCAAATGATGAGCATGGTATTAGTCGGTAAAGCTGCATACAGCCCACGAATCCTTCTATTCAAGCGAGTTATGACGTCCTTCAACTCAGTTGTCATCCCACAATGAATGCCTTTCTTATTGACAGACTTCTTCTCACACGTAAGCAGCGATAGCATCTCAGCAAGCTTTCCATTCAAATTCTCTGCATCCTCCACTTGCTTTTCGTAAAAGGAATTCAACTCCGAAAATTGGGTCCAGATGAAATGTGTCCGTTCATTCTTCGCCTACACATACACGACCACTCAGTTTAACTAAAAGCTCCAATAACCTAAGGTTTGCTTGCGGTCAATTATCAATCTACTAATTTACCTCCTTTTTGGCTTTCAAAAGGGCTTCATCATCTGAACATACAGGAAAAGCATTGGATGTCTCGGAAGAGTAGCGCTTTACTATGGAGATATCATCGATCATAGAGGAGGTTTTGCCACACTCGCCCAGCGTTGAAAGGAGCTTTTTCCGAGTAAAAGATGGAGGAGAACCGAAATCAGGTCCTAGTAAAGAGCCAGCAAAAACGTCAGGAAAGACTACAAGTACAGAAAGACACCAATGCAAGAATAGTTGGAAAGGGACCCACCATTTTTTATCTTTAGCAATGCAAGTTCTAATGCAGCTCTTGCATCTTCAATGCTGTCATGTCCAGCACCAGATTGTTGTATCTCCCTGGAGAGGAATTTCTTGGCAAGAATTCGAAGAGCGGTTTTATAAGAGCCACCTCGTGGATGTTTGTATAGCACAGCAGTATCAATCACCAATTTGTGAGAGATCTTTAGTGCTAATAAATCGTTCTCAAGGGAATGACCGACGAGGATGGTTTCTTGGTTAACCAGTTTTAGAAAATCATCCTGATGAATAGAGATATAGAAACAGTAACTAAATAGGCAAAGTTTACTTGAAAAAGAATTACATTCCAAAGAAGATCCACATCATATGACAAACCTGAACATCTTTAAGAGTCGTGGTCACCTCATTCAGCATTTCATATGTAATTCCACTAAATCTGCACAAGAGTAATGAATCCAATCTTGTTACTTTCAGTTAAGCATAGAATATAAGTGCTTTATGGGTGACCGGAAATGATTCTAAGCCCATATATTTTAGAGTAAGTCAAGATGTTAAGGTGTTCTTCTGTATTAAAAAGCACTAAAGGGACTATGTATTACGAGAATGGCCACATTTGAAATAAGCAAACTATATGAATAAGTTGATTGTAAAACTAGTACATTCAAAATCTCAACGTTTTCGAAACCACCAGGACCTTCCACAGATTAGAAAAGGCAGGCCGGGAAGAAACAAAGTTAGACACATCTCTGATGCAAGTAAAGGTAAAAGAGAGGTTAAGCCAACTTACCTTGTATTGTAATCAACAATGTCATTAATTGGTTTAACCAATTTATCCAACAATACCTGCAAGGTAAAGACAAGGATAAATTTTCCAGCAGCGAAACAAATTACTTGAGATTTATTCTGGAAAAGGGAACTTAAAAAATCACGAGACATTGACTTAAAATGATTAGAGAACTGTATAAACTATAATCTAATGGGGGGGGGGGGGGGGGGGGGGGGAATTCCTGCTCAGAGCAAAAGAAAATGAGAAGCCCAGTAACAAATATATCAGCCTGGTGAAACTTGGAACATTTCACAACCATAACATGCTGAGAAGTTATAGCATCCCTTAATTTCTAAGCCAGCTTAAAAGGGACACTAGGAGGCATGATTGCTTCTTCGACATCAATGTTCCTTTCATTTTTAAGCCATTCAAAAGAATACGCAACAAGAGCTTGTCCAATGACATAAGAAGCATAATTCTGGATAACATACCTGTCCTGCAACATCCACCAGGGTTATTCTTGTTAGCTCAAAGCCATCTTTAGTGACACACTGTCAATATAGAAAATGAAGAAGTTAAATGAAGGTTGTGTTGAGTAATCCGGCAAGAAAAAGTCCAGTCCTTAACTGAAATACTAACAAATATTGAGGAGCATTTCACCAAGAAGATTCTTTCTGGTATAAATAAAAAATGACTATAGTCTGATAAATGTTTGGTTTTACAGTACTGAAAAACTAACACGAAATGCCAAGATCATCCCCCTTGAAATGCCAAAAAAAGAATAATGAGTGTATAGTGAGTCCGAAGTTCTCCCACTCATAGATTTTCTACTCAACATTTCATCAGCGTTTTGCTAAATTCTGTACAACAGCAGGTAATCCAAGTTTAGCAAAACAGCAGACAGTTACCTCTTATGGTTTCATTCTTTAAATATACCACCATCTCAGCCAAATCTAGTTCATAATGCATACTCTCAGAAGTTAATTTTAAACGTTAATAGCCAAACAGTTTCTTATATTTCAGCATAAGTCACATCTTACCATTTCACAGTCAACTGCCAGGATATCATGTTGAGGAGAGCTACCAGGAACAGGAAGGGTAGAGAGAAATCCTAGAAAAAACAAAGTGCTGGAATAAAACACTATAGATGATAGAAGGCCAAAGTTGAGGACACCGATATTATGAAAGTAACATAAAGAAACAACACACTGAAACTTACCCGGTTGGTCAGGACAATATCCATTGGTCTCTAGTTGTTCAGATGTCAGCGTATAGTATGCCGGGGGAAAAGGTACCCCTTTCACAAGCTCCGCGAAAGACAAATTTTCAAGGCCTGAAACACTCCTCTCTGCACCGCAATAATATATAAATCCACATGAGAAGCAAAATTCAGAAGTCTTTCGAAGAAGTTATTTAACATATCACATTTGGCGGACACATCTGATGTCAAATCTGTCCTCTAAATGATATCTATCTCTTTCTCTCCCCCCCTAACACTCACTCACAGATCGCACATATGTATAGACTGTAAGACATACAGATAGGGATGTTAATGATGTTAGCATATACGAACAACCACACTGCTGGAGAGTATCCACACAGCCCATGTTCATGTAAAGGCTAGCCAAAAAGGTGAAGATAGAGAATGATGTCCCAATATAACAAGCACGCTCATGAAACAAATTGTTAACACAGTGAACACTATTTCTATCACCTTGTTCAGAAGCAGGAGCAGATTTCTTTGAATCTGAATCGACTTCATCTCTCTTTCTTTTTGACTTGCTTGTTAGAAGAGCATCTATTGTCTGCATTCGATCTGTTACACAGCTAGCAAAGAGAAAAACGAAGACCAAATTCCGTAAGGTTTAATGTTGCAGAATGATAGCCATCAGCAAAGATAGAGTCACAAAAGAAAAATGAGAAGAGAAGAATCATTACCGACCTAATAGCTAACTGTGCCTTCGGTTTCCCACAGCATTCTTTAAAACCAGCGAACAACTTGGGTTTCGATAAGTACAAAGCTGCATCTAGGCCAGGCACATAAGCCATAACCACTTTTGGAATAAGAGGCTTGTTCTGTAAAATGAAAACGTTATTTGTTAATTTGAACTACAGAACTGAAACTCAGATTATGAATGAGTGCAAGGATGAAACTTCAGAAATGATGAGGAAATAGGTTAGGGAAAATCAACGTGCTATGGATGGATATGAAAATCCATTTCATCAAATGGCATAGAAGGCAGCTAAATGAGTATTTAGGAGAAGTAGTCTTTCACAGAAAACAGTGGCACACAAGAAGTCATCAGGCCCAAATAGACAGCCACATAACCATACGATTATCCTTCTATTTTCCTTTACAGCGTTCCAGCCTAAAGCTTTAAGTTATTGCAGACTGATTTGCTCAATAAGCACCTTATCCATGGTCATATATCAACTTATTTACATTTTTCAAAGGAAGAACAATAAGTCCGTTACCTTAATAAACACCCAAGAAGGCATGAACCCTTCAGCAAGCACCCAGGTCACAAGTCCTTGAATATCCTATTTAGCAAAATAGAGCATTGGTGACCGAACATCAACATAGATTCCAATCATAACGCGTCTCTTTCATAGAGATTGAAGACAGACTACTGTGTGACCTACCTGAAGATTCAGCTTCAAGCTAGCTTCTGGAGTCTTGAAAGCAATTTCTGGCTTCGCCTGTAAAATGAAATCAACATAGTTATACCCTGACACAAAGTGCAAAAACTAAATATTGTAGGAAAGCAGTAGTGAGCAATCATTACACAATGCAAGGCACCACAAGATTGCATCTTTTCCAACCCAAAAAAAAAACATTGCATCTTTCTCCAATTCAATGACATTTCCCCACAGCTCAGTAGCAAACCACGGATAACTGGCAACATATATATGTATATGAACTCAAAGCCAGAAACTTTACTGCCAACCGTGAAAAGCAGCAAGTGAACTATTCAGCTCATTACATATAAGTTATAACCACTCACTGCAACCCAATTTAAAGCATGAAATGACCTATAAGAGCCTAGAATCCCCAGCCCAATTCCCAAACTCTCAGCACTACTTCTTCTCTCCCACCAATGATAAATGATTGTCGCAGTACAAACAAACTCGCTACTAGGAAATAGCAGGTAAAACTGGACGAGCTATCTATCTGAACCATGAATGAGAAGGAAAGGGGTAAGAAAGGAAAGCAATACTTGAGGTCCATAGATATCGAAGTATTGGTTGCTGGTAGATGCTTCGTTGTTTTCGCCGTTCTCGTCCGTGACCTCGTTCATCTTTGCAGCTGCGGCCGCGCTCTGGAGCTCCGGCGACGACATAATTCTTTTCTTCCTCCGTTTCTCTCCGGTAATGCCTCCAAAGTAAAAGGAAAACGACACCTCCCTTAGTCCCTTATGGCATGGCGGCTTTTTTTGGGCCATCGCCTTATGCGCCATTTAAACCTAGCCCAAATGTAATTTGGGCTTACTTTCTTATTCCAGCTCTGCCCTCTGCCAAAAAGAGAAGGAGCATAAACAAGATTTTCGACAAGCTGCGCATAGAAGCTTTTTTTTTTCCCCATTGGTATTTCTTCTGTTCGCACGGCGGCGTGAGGGGAGAGTTGTGACTCAGAGATGTCGAAGAAGCTGCTGCAGCCGATAGGGCAGAAGAGGCTGACGAACGTGGCGGTGGTTCGTTTGAAGAAGCACGGGAATCGTTTTGAGATTGCTTGCTACCCGAACAAGGTCCTTTCATGGCGGTCTGGCGTGTGAGTAGTTTGATTGCCTTCCCGACTTTATATCTGTGCTTGTTCCCTCTCGTTTTTTGGTCTGATGGTCTTGTCAATTCCGTGGTGATTGTTTTGGAACAGCGAGAAAGATTTGGATGAAGTATTGCAGTCGCAGACGGTTTATTCTAACGTTTCCAAGGGAGTTCTGGCCAAGTCCAAAGAATTGATCGCTGCGTTTGGGACGGATGACCAGTCCAAAATCTGTCTGGAGGTGAGCAACTGTTGCGTTTCTAAAATTTGTTTGTATAGTTTTAGCATCGTGCGTTGATGTGAGACTCCATTTTTGTTTAATTTTTGGTTGGCGGTGGGGGCTGTAGATTCTGAACAAAGGAGAGCTTCAAGTTGCAGGGAAGGAGAGGGAATCACAATTGTCTAGTCAGTTTCGGGACATTGCAACGATTGTGATGCAGAAGACTATAAATCCCGAAACTCAGCGACCTTACACTATCAGTATGATTGAGCGATTGATGCATGAAATCCACTTTGCCGTCGATCCACATAGCAGTTCGAAGAAGCAGGTTTGATCATTTGCTTTCGCTACTATAGAACTCTATGGCTTGTCTTGCATGGTTTATGCAATAAGAAGCAATGCAATTTTTCTTTTGGTTGATGCTAATGGGGAAAATGGTGCAAGTTACGTTTTCATTTAGTGGTGATTGCAAAGTAATTGGAATTCCATAGTTGCTCGATCTGTTTTCTTGCTGTCTATGGCACTCCTGTTTGAATGAGTTAATTTAAGCATATGTCAAAAGGTTCTATAACCTCTGTGTAATTGGATGTCTTGTGTAGGCACTGGAAGTTATTCGTGAGCTTCAAAAGCAATTCCCCATCAAAAGAGCGCCAATGAGAATACGCCTTACCGTTCCTGAAAACACTTCTTCTTCACTTGTTGAAAAGCTGAATGCCTGGGAAGCTACCATCACCGCTAGGGATACTTCTGGAAGTCAGCTGTCTTTTGTAAGTCTCTCTATATGGTGAACTGTTGATCAGTTATACTCATTCCGCACCTACTAAGCTTTCAGTTATGCCTACCTCTTAAGGGGAAGCGTCACAGTTTTATTGGGTTTGCTTCTCTGTCCTCTTTGTCATATCTTTTTTGGTTGCATATACATTAGGTCCCTTAAGCATCTAGTCTGAGTAAGACCTTTGTTTTGAACAATGAGGTACAGTTGGAGTGATTATATTTGGTGTTCCCACTAATTCCACTACAAGTTCTGGGCTGAACTTTTGTATTTCATATTTAGTTTTGTACTTTGTTGGATTGGATGATAGTCTGTTTCGTTTGCAACCATAATTTCCTTATCTGAGGGTGGAAAAGAGAATGAGACTAACTAAATTTTCTTTAAAAAAAATGAGACTAACTAAATTGGAAAACTGTGAATGTGGGATCACGTTGAGCAGTTTTCTGTTTGACAGCAGAACAGGAAAGAGGATTAGGAACCTACATCAGCTCTTGGAGTAAGGTTGAGATTTGTAATAATTTTGCCCCAACATGCTTCAGTGTACTTTTGCCTATAACCCTCAAATTAAGAGACAAGAATGAGCACATTTATTTAATTTATGTCATTGTTTGTCACTTAGGTTCTATGGGCTACTGATATTTGCTGCATGTGGGATCCATTTTTTCGTTATTGACTTCGCTACAATGGTATTTTCTTGGAGATGGTTATGTGATTTTCTCTCTTTTCATCAAATATGGCCCAGGTCTGTGAAATCGAGCCAGGTTTCTTCCGAGACTGTGACATCTTGGTCAGGAATCTTCAAGGCAGAATGGAGATTCTGGCGGTGTCCGTTCATTTCGAGGGGGACACACATGTGGACGACATTGCCGACCATGTAGACCTGCAACCATCCCTCCCCACTAAGGACTCTACCGACCCCATTGCTCAACTCTCTGAAAAAGTTCAGAAACAGACCATCTCCTCCACAGCACCCAAGAAAGTCGCGGTCGAGCCAAAGCAGAACCAGTGCAGCACATGCAATGCAGTTGTTGGGGATGCTAAGGAGTACAGGGAACACTTCAAGAGCGACTGGCACAAGCATAACTTGAAGCGGAAGACACGTAATCTGCCGCCTCTCACAGCGGACGAGTGCTCTGCTGCTGATGTGGACTTGGGCGACTCTAGAGCTGATTTGAAAGATTACTCGTTTTGAATTTGTATTAGTCGGGAAGTATGTGTTCCTTTTTGTAATCCGAGAGGCAACTTCCGTACTTCGTATATGATAGGAGTGAGCAAGTACAGTCTCATGTGTATTAGCCATACCTATTAAGTATTATGTCTGTTACCACTGAGGGTGGTTGTTTAACGTGTGTCTGAAATTGTGCAATCTGGTTTAAGCTCTACATCATCTTCAAGTTTATGAAATTCTGGTTGATCCTCAGCCTATGGCGTTATGTAATGGTGATGGCATTCATCTTCTGCCTGGTTATGGTTCGATCAATGGGTGGATCTCAAATTCATTGTACTACGTCCAGATTATAGAGTTGGTGCTTGCATCATCTCCTCCTATGTTTCTCATTCTGAATAAAAGGGTGATCTAGCAGTTCTGCTGCTGTAGGCCTAGTAGATGGATCTCTCTGTTGGCAATGTCGCACGAAATTTTTTGCTTCTTCTGATTGGTTGCTTGAGATCTCAGCATAGCTCGCGCTGCTTGCAATCTTGAATTATGCAGCCACCTATTGCAAACAGCAGAAACTTGTCAAAGTGCCAACGAACAACAGCAAAGAAAAGCCGTAAGAAGTGAAACCCGTAAACATGTAGTGTCTAACTCAATCGTTAATATTCGTGAATTTTACCTGATTCCATTGCTTGAGGCATTCATTTGAGTTGTGATCATCAGAAACGACACTCACTTCCTTCATCGCACACATTCGTCCTCTGATGTCACTGCCCAAAACAAGAAAGAAAACCAAAGTCAGGCATGAATTTCCCAGAACAGGCCATGTTTCTGGACTTGAATGTGATCAGTAAAACTAATCGGTACTCATTTGTTAATTATGCATAGTACAAGTGCTGAAAGAAAGAATCGTTCAAAGGGAGAAATAAAGTATTTATTTAGTATTTACCTCGTTCACTGCTTTGTTGGGAAAAAGAAGAAAAAACGGCATTTGGGCAGTATAGGAAACAGGTGGCAAGAGAGCGTTTCCCTTTTTCTCATATAGCTACCGGAGAAGCTGAGCTCTTCCTTCCCGCTGCGTCTCTATCCAGCTCGATCCTTCTTCTTCAGCTGACTGTTTCACCTCCGTCTCGCAGCTCTTCTTCTCCTTGTCCATCCTCCTCCTGCCGGCGGTAAGAGATTCTTAACCTCGGAAAATCGTGATCTCAAGCACCTCTAATTTCTTCCGATTCAGTTCTCCCTCTCGCTCGCTCGCTATCGCTGTTTTCTTGATGGATTATGAATTCGTTGCGTGCTCTCTTTCGTTGGCAGAAGTTTCCAATCAATCCTAAATTTTTCTGCATTGAAATTGCTCATGGAAGTGGTTAGTATAGACTGACAGCGCCGTCTGTTGGATCTCGATAACGTATATGCAATATCCATGCTTGTTATTTGGGTGGAGTGAGTGGATTGGTCTGATCCCCGATAGAAGATTTGTTAGAGGCAGCACTACCGATCCTGCTATAAGAAGCAACGTAAAATGGTTCAATTAGACAGAAGAAGAACAAACAGTTGTCTAAAGTTTAGGGCTTTAGGCTTAGTTCTTCCTGTGACATGATTCTTTAGATCGACACTTGACCCGGTGTACTAACTAGGGTAAAGCTGCTAGCAAATTCGGTTAGGTTTAGACGTTTACTTTCCCCTGATCATTCATTTGATTGAACGTTTGCTGTTCTTATATGCTCTGGATCACCTCTGTGTAGACTGTAGGCTACTGAAAGTTGACTGAATTAGCTTGCAGGTAGTAATATGCTTGTCTAGTTTTTCTTTTCTTTTTCTCTTGTGCATCTCTCGTAAATAATCAATGGGCTTTAGATATATGATTGCGGGTGTACTGTCTAGTAAACAAGGTATCGGAACTTTGATTCTCCTTTTTTGGCACTTGAAGAGAATGTACTTTGTTAACGACCATTATGGTTCTCCCATTGCAGGTGAAAATGGCAGGCTTCAGCTTTCAACTGGCTTATACGTCACGTTTGATCACCCTTTCTATTGTAATACACAAGTGCTTATCTTTTTTGTTGCAAAAGATATTGGTGGCCAGCTTTTCTACCTTCTAATGGTCTACATACCTATATTTTTTTCATACAGGATTAATTTGTTCTGCTGGAGAAGAAACGGACGGAAATTGTGAGCTACCCCTTGCCACAACTTCAAACTGTCGGTGGGACTAACTCGCTAATGACCATTGTTTTGTTGAATAACTTTGAAATCTGTCAGTAAGGGTTAAAAGTAGACAAACCAGAGTAAAGAAATAGCAGAGAAATTCATTAGAGGAGAAGATTAAAAAATGGCAATGCAGTGGAGTTCAACTCTGTTTGTGCTCCGGATTGTTTGGTTGGCGCTTTTTGGATGGGTCTCGTCTTGCTTGACTGTCGCCGACGAGGTTGCCCACTCCCTGAGAACTGGAGATATTGGCCCATTCATTATTGGCTGACTGAATCTGGTTCTATTCACATGTATGTCTCCAGACCCTGGTGATACTTTCAGACAACTCATCAATTCTTAATTTAAGTCAACTAGTTGCTTGCTCCTGATGGTCCTTTGTGTAGTGTTTTGGACAAGAATATTGCTACTTTAAAATCTGTATGTTCTCAATCTTCACAACTAAAAAAAATGTTGGGATACAGTGTATATTTAGTTGCTTCGCCCAAAGACCTATGTGTTTATATCATCCCCAGTGATGACCTCTGTCATTGTCTTCAAGCCTTTAGTTTAGTTTGGTGCAGGTTTTGGTGCTTTCCATTGTCAAGACCAATATTCCGGATGCGTTTGAACAAGTGTTGCTTCCACTGAAAAACTTACTCTTTTTTCTTGTATGGTATCTCTTGTTCTTCTTTTGAAATGCTGTGTTGTATCTTCTGTAGCCAAGCGGTCGGAATCATAAGTTAGTGGTGTTCAGTAGTCTCTGTTGTAACTTTGATGTTCGCTAAGAGGGGATAGAAAAGCTTTGTGGGGTGTGGTGGGTGGCGGCTAGTGCTTATGTACTCATACTCCCAGCTCTTTGGCAACATGATTGTTTTTGTATTATTGGCTTCATAATCTTTTGGCAAGTTGGAAACAAATATGTCATTTCTACACTGCAAAAATTACTTCTGATTTCGGTCTTGTTTACTTTTGGATTCCAGGTGATTTTGATTACTGGTTTCTGAGAGCAAAGTGTTAATGTGCGAGGTTTTGTATTTCTTTGACTAAGCCAATCTGATGCCAAAGTTCTGTTCAGAGTTGTGGGAAGATATGCAAGGCTAGCTTGGACAATGAGGAACATCCATCTTGAAACTAGCTTGATGCTTGCTACTCACCAAGGGGCTTTGTAGCTTGATAGTATGCTTGCTACTTCCACTGAAGTGCAGTCCTCCTGTTACTGGTTTGGTGATGATATTATCTGAGAATGCCTTGTTTGCTGTACAGATTGATGAATAGATGTGGAAAGAAAAGAACATATCTGGTGCTTGTTGCAGTTTGGTGTTCTACAAATGGTTTGACAAATGCTTTCTTCCTCCACAGGCAAATTCACTGTGCTTGTTTCCATAGTTGGAAAGGTTGATTTGATGACTTGGTTTTAGTTTTTTGAATAATAGTTTAGTCAACAACTCTTTCGAATTGTTCGTATTTTGCATAAGATATGTACCTTCACATTGCGAACCGTACTATTTCGAGTTCTTATCGTTGATAATTTGACAGGTGTTTTTGTATGTCCTCTAATGGGTGTCGCGTGTGTTTTGAAATCATAAAGAGACCACTTCTTCATTGATTTAAGGTTTCATGAACCTCTTCCTACCTAGTACCTACAACGAGATTTTCGTACATGTGACTATTGAGAGGAGTTTTAGCTCCAAGTTCCTTGCAAATAATTCTCCTATTATTTGATCGCTACAAAGTGACATTTCATGTTATAGTATAAAATGTCGTTAGATTATTGATATTTATCGTATTGTTTTCATGTGGAGTGATCGGTTTCGGTATCTCTTTCGAGCGTAAGATCCAAACATTAAAATACGTTTCTGAAATTTGAGGATTGGGAGAGAGAAGTGTTCAAAATTTGTGAACGAAACAACCATACTTGTAAAGTTCGAGGTATGAAAAAGCGAAAATTCCATTGACAAGCAAAGCAAAGCAACCCTTTTGTTTGTGGTCCCTACCCACCCAACATTTAGCAGCTATTCTGTTGTATTTTTCTTTTTTTCCTCCTTTCTCTTTCGCCGTGCTGATTGCTTTGCTTGCTCTACTTGTTAATATTATCAACACCGACATCTCGCGGGAGCAGACTATCCTACTCCCATTCTTTTCCTTTTCCCCTCCGACGACAAAGGTAAGTGATAAGAAGGGAAGACCTCCATCCCTCCGACCTATCTCTGTACTTTTTTTTTCAATTTCATCGTCATCGGAACCTTTCCGCCAATGAATTCCGCTACCCACCTCATATAGTCGAAAGCTTCTATTTCGAGCGGGCCGCTTGATTCTTAAGCTTTAATTTGTATTTAATTTTGGACATAATTTGGTCTGATCGCAGTTCTCTTCGTCTTCAAATAAACCAGGTTCCAAGTATTGCATAATCGCCGGCGAATTTGGCTTCTCGGGTGTTCCTTCCCAAGGTTAGGCCCTCATCTTTGAATCAACCTTTTCTTTACAAAAAAAAAAAGGAGGATAATCGTCATGCATTCTAACTGCTCGACGAAATGCTTAGTCTCTGTGCTTTCTTAATAATTATCAGCTGGGTTGGGTGGGTATTTGTGTGCGCCGTCACTTGTTGGTCTGTAGTCGGTGTCACACCGATCAAATAGTTCGGCCGCAAGAAACCCGATCAAACCTCAAGTTCAACTAACATGAATCCTGATTGAGTTTCATGTACAGTCACTAGTTGGGTTTCCATTGTATTGCTTGGTGAGTCTTTTTGGGCAATCAATCAAAGAAACAGGAAGCGCAGTAACGAACACTCTTTGTGCGTTTCTGGTTTCGGCTTGATCGATGGGCTGACTCTGGAATCATTGTTGGTTAGATGCAACATGCAAGAGTTTGAAGCCCCATATTAAACGTGAGCCTAAACAGAAAAAAACGAACGATACTTAAATGTTCTCTCATTTGCCAGATTTCGAGGAGGCAACTTAAACTCCTCTGACCAAATAGAATTCTTGCGCGATCCATTCTTTGTCAATCTATATATCTGAAAACTTTTTGCAAAAGTTGATCAAACGAATGCTCTTAACTTTCTGGGGTGCGATGTGTCCTGAATCCTGATTGCTAAATTTTGTGTGTAGTGCATCTGAGGGCTGGCCATTTCTCCCAGTTGAAAAAGGAACGATGGTTTCTGCAAATAGAGAAATGGCTGTGTATTGCTTTGACACACTCGTTGCTCACTATAACAACAAGGAAGCCCCGCCTCCTGCCTTTGACGAGGGCCAACAGTAAAACCCTTTTCTCCTCTCCTTTTCCTCTTAACATTCATTGATTTGTCATGTCCGGGGTCATTTGATTCATTGGGGTTAAGGAAGCCCATTTTCTTTATCATTGTCTTCGGCCTAACTTTCCTTTGGAGACCTTCTTTTAAGGATTGTTCAGTGATTGATTTCATGGTTTTAGCTACTAATTGCATGTTTTCTCCGTAGCTTAATTTAGGATACTCTCTACAAGGTGGCGGAAGCTTCCTTGGTGTTGAAGTGTCGTGAAACTTCACTAGGGTCACTTTATCACCATGATTAGTAATAGACAAAGCTGCAAGTTACTGTAGACCAAGATTTATGCTCTTTTGTGATCCTCTGCTAATTATTAATGAAACAGTCCCTTTTTTGTTCAAATTGAGAGTATGATTTTGTCGTCAATTGTATACCAAGTTACGCTGTTCTGTGTTTGTTACTAAAAGACCTGGCCGTTGCAACTTCTAGAAGATTGAAATAAGCTTTGTGTTTATAGCATTCTAAGTGATCTATTGTAGGGATTATTTCAACTAATATGTAGTTCTGCAAATTTCACTTCAATTAGCAACTCCGGATATTTCAGTATCAGTAGTCTTCAAACTTCAGTTCGACCCATCATCTGGGAAATTGTTGGGCTGGATTAGACTATAGATGGTGACATGTTTTGGGGACTGCAGCTTATCCCTTGCCATTCTTACGGTCCTTTCTATTCTTATGGTGCTAAGTAATTGGATGGTGATACTGAATTACTGGTAACAACCTGTCATTGTTCATTTTGGTAACTATATGAAACATATATCATATTTTCGTGTACTGGCACTTCAATCACTTTACAATGATTTGTCAGGCACAATTTGTCACGCAGCAACTCTATACTTACAATAAATATGCTTGCACGATAAGAACCTTGGATGGGATGCTTGTGTGCTTGAGTTGGTGGTTGCTATTATTCTTTACCTACTTTGAACTACATCGTTCACCATTGCGTCCAACTTTCCTATAAATCACCATCAGTAATGCTTGCTAGAATAGGAAGAATCATGACCTGTAAGCCGTGGCCAATATGTTACCGTGGATGGCCAAAAAATCTATCTTGGTTTTTATGCCTTTTTCATCTTACTTTTTATATGACCCATAGTAATGAAGGGTAAACTTAAGTTGTTTATTCTAATTTCGCTCTGCACTAATTTGCCTAAGTTATTAAAAGAATTTGTGTGTTTGGAGGCCTGGAATAAAATCAAGATTAGTTTAAGTTGATAGCTATTGATAAACATTTTTTCTCTCTGTTTTCAGCTTCTTTTTCTTTTCTGTTCGGTAAAATGTCTATACTTGATAGTTCGTTTCCACTTAGCCATAATGAACAATGTCTGGAATGAGCCTAAACGGGTCTTAAATTGTCTTATTGTTGATTATTCTTTTTTTTGTCCATAGGCAGCTTTATTAAAATAAATGTGGCTGAGACATTTTGGTTAAACCTAGAACTAAAGATCTCACTTTGAAGCTGGTTCTTCATTAATACATGAATTTATAAGGAGTACTCGCGAAACCTTACTCAGCATTGTTCTCATGAAACGAGGTCAAGACAATGCTAGGAAGCCTTTAGTTGGACTCACATCCATGCTTTTCAAAGGAAATTTGTCTGCTTGCTAGTCATATGCATAATTATGGATGATTCCACTGGTACTTGTCATGATAGCTTCTTTAGGTTTAAGCAAGGTTTCGAGTTTTGTGGTTTCGTTTCTTTATCCTTTCTAGCATAATATTTCCTTTATCATTCTGGTCACTACTGGATTTGGTTTGCTCAACTGTTTCTTTCAATAGGAATGACGTAATATTGACCGAGTCGACTTTGCAATAAGATTCTCATTCGGAATGCAACTAAAGTTTTTCAATTTTTTTTTTTTGGGTTTATCCCACAATGAATACTTCTATCTTTGCTCTGAGTCGGGTAGAATGACATGATTAATGTTGTTTCCATTTTTTCCTCCCCAGTCCATTGTTTGTCACTTGGAAGAAAGTGGTCAGTGGTGGTGAGCCTCGTCTACGTGGATGCATTGGGACTTTGGAAGCTAGAGGTTTGATTAATGGATTCAAGGACTATGCTTTAACCAGGTATTGATGATAATGTGTCACTAATGCAGGAAACATTTTTTATTTTATTTTCTTGTAACTTACTTATAACAGAAGAGGGAACTTTAACATGCGGAACCATTAGCAATGAACTGGATTTATAAATGCAGTTGAAATTGATTTATATAGAGTAAAACATACTTTTCTATTTGCACCAAATCCCCTAGTGAAACTGTACAAACTATTAGGGGGCTTGTTGGTGCATTCGACCATCAGGACTATGTCTAGAATGTTTTGGTTGCTGTATTAACTTGAAGACGAGGTTTCGTTCTCATAACATATTTCTCTATACCTTTTTAGTTGGCTCAAAGTAATTCCTTCCACTGATTTATTTGTGAGAAGATGAAGTTCTTTACTACTCAATATTCTTCTCTGCATTGCATATCAGTGCGTTTAGGATGCTTACAAAGTTGCATTTAGAAATTGCATTGCCCTTCATGCATAGTTAATTAATCTTGTGACTGTTTAATCTGGATCACTTCTGAAACTATTCGTTCCAAGTGCCTGATTTCATTGTTTCTGGACGATCTCTCACTTGATATTTGACGCCATCCCTGCCTCTATATGCTTCTTACCATTCTTTATGTTGACACAGTGCTTTGAGGGACCGGAGGTTTCCTCCTATACAGGCCAAGGAGCTGCCTTCTCTAGAATGTACAGTGTCTATTCTAACTAATTATGAGACTGCTAACAACTATCTTGACTGGGAGGTATGTTATTTCAACTCATTTCACTTGGAATACTGAGATTGCAATCATTCCCTTCTCTAGTTACCGGTCATTATACCCCGATCTCCTGTATCACCATTTTTAAGGTCTTTGCTTCTTTTGGCAACTGTCTTCAGGGTCCAAAACTCAGGGCAGTGAATGTAACGTTTGAGCTAAGCATGCATTTTCAAGTCAATGTTGCAGCTACTTCATACCCTAAATGCAAAAGGCAGTTTATGATATTAAATAGTTTAGTACCCTAAGTCCTAAGAGTTGAAAATTGAAGCGTAGTCCAAAAAATATTTAGATCCCTTTGGATATGTATTGTTAAACCCTTATAACTTATAACTGTATGGTGGCCTTGTTTTAAATTTCTATAAAAAGGCCCTCTCTTTAAGCTTTTAAAAATTTCTTGAGTCTACCAAGGAAAGTTACCTTTTTGTCCTCTTAAGAGAATGAAATTATCGTAACTCACAAATAATCAAGTCTTACATATCAATTCTGAATGCATGTATCTTGTTCGATCCTTGGACTACTAATCCTGGTCAAAAGTTTGAGTTGCAAGTGGCAATCAAATTTGTCAATTGTGTAACAGTTTTTTTTATGAAATTCCCTAATATGTTGATGGTTTAAAGTTTGCAGTTCAACAGCATCTGATCACCTTTTGGAAAGAAAATAACAAGTTCTTCAAATGACCGTGATTGCAGGTTGGGGTACATGGTATGATTATTGAATTTACCGACCCTAACAGCCATACAAGGCGGAGTGCCACATATTTGCCTGAAGTCGCTGCCCATGAAGGTAAAGATTATCTGTGTGATCGCAGGTTCCTGCTTCTTTTGCTTTTCTTTCCATCAGAAGTTAATAAATTGTTCACTATAAACCAGTAGACAACTTGCGGATATGTTAGGCTTGCGGATATGTTAGGATTACGCATTTGTCAAAACAACTATCTGTTCGATGAAGGAAAATTATTGGGATCGGGGAGTGGATTTCATTTCTTCCTCACTCTAAACTTTCTTTCTACTTCATTATGTGTGATTAAGTTCCTAAGAATCTGCTGCAAGGCTTGTTGGAAGTAACATTTTCTTGCACCGTGGGGTGGTTTCAGGTTGGACGAAATTGGAGGCAATCGAATCGCTTATGCGCAAAGCTAGCTACAATGGCGTCATCACTGAATCACTTCGAAAGTCCATCAAACTGACGCGTTACCAGAGCACACTTTTCACCATGACGTACAGCGACTACGTCTCGTACGTGAAAGAAACCAGGGGGGTTACAGCTCCGGTTATGAATGGGGCTACTCCTAAGCTTGCCATGTATTGATTCTTCTTCTTCCAATCCAAGTATAATTGGGAGAAAGAAACAACTAGGCAGTCAACTCAAAAAATGAAGGGCTTCTTTTGGTGTCATGTCACTGCAATTTGTATTCATGTTCAAAACCAACGATGGAAAATTTGGCAGCTGTCTGTGTGGCGCAAGGCTGGAGTTTGTTCTGTGAACTCTAGTTTTCCTGCCTGGGCTGCAATGGCAAATGTGAATCTGTATTGGGCAACCCTGTTTGTGTTCGTATTCTGTTCGCATTAAGCTTGTTCAGAAGCTTTTGTTGGAGTCACGTCTGTTAATATCTCTGTTGTTCGTCTCTGGACGATAAGCGATACGATTGACTGCTTTGTATCTTTTGTTAAAACCGATATGAACAGGCATATAAACCAATTGTACCTCTGTTCGACAATACCACTTACTAAATCGGGATAACGATATTAAGCACAGGTTTGACAACCTTCCTTTACACCTTGCTAGGAGTAGGACGCGTCGGGTTCAGTTTCTCGCCTAGTTTGGCTTACGTATTAAAATGCTGAAGATGGATATGGTATAACCGCATAAGCTACCTCGGGCTCCCGAGTCCGGTTCGGCTTCAGCCTTCAGGAGCCATCTCCCTCCTCCACTTTCAATTCCATTTTTAGCTCTTTCCCCGCTCTTGTTCTCTAGAGCCGCCCCATCGTTTCTATGAATGAGCATCCCACACTTGATCTCTCTGTTGAAACAATGCAACGCTTCAAAATCACTCCTCCAAGCTAGAGTCATTCACCAAAAGATCGTAACTTTGGGCTTGCAGACCGAGATTACCCTGTGCAAGAACCTCATCAATGTCTACTCCTCTTGCCGCTGTCATGACTCTGCTGAACTCGTCTTCCGAAGGATCGGAAACCCATCGGACATCTCATTGTGGAACGCCCTCCTCGCTTCTTACACAAAAAATCACGCTTACATTGAAGCTCTTCAGCTCTTCGGAAGTTTGCTGCGCTACCCTTCCCTGAAGCCTGATTGTTTCACTTACCCGAGTGTGCTGAAGGCATGCGGTGGACGGGAATGGATTCGCTGCGGGAGATCGATGCATGGGCATTTCGTGAAATCTGGGTATGTTTTCGATGTTGTGATATCGAGTTCTTTAGTTGGGTTGTATGCCAAATGCGGCTACTTCGATCACGCAGTTCAGCTGTTCGATGAAATGTCTGACAGAGATGTGGCAAGTTGGAACACTGTCATATCTTGTTATTATCAGAGTGGGAAATACGAGAAGGCGTTGGACTTGTTTGGAAGAATGAAGGAATTCGGATTTCAGCCCAACTCTGTCACATTGACGACTGCCATTGCTGCGTGTGCGAGACTTTTGGATATTGAAAAGGGGAAAGAGATCCACTCGGAGCTCACGAGAACTGGCTTCGTGCTGGATGATTTCATGAGCTCTGCTCTTGTGGACATGTACGGGAAATGTGGTTGCTTGGAGATGGCTGAAGACGTGTTTCACCAAATGCCTAAGAAAACCGTAGTTGCTTGGAATTCTTTGATTTCAGCTTACGGTTCTACCGGAGACTGCAATCAATGCATGAAACTGCTCAGTAGGATGATTCTTGAAGGCATTAGACCAACTTCAACAACAATAAGTACCATATTGCTGGCATGTTCACGATCAGGACAACTCCAACCTGGAGCATTTCTCCATGGGTACATCCTCCGAAACAGAATCGCCCCTGATCAGTTCATCAACAGTACCCTTATCGATCTATACTTCAAATGCGGGAAACCTCATACAGCTGAAAAGGTGTTCAGAACGATTCCCAAACCAGACATAGTTTTGTGGAACGTAATGATTTCAGGATTCACCATGGTAGGAAAGCTCTTCGATGCACTTGGAATCTACAATCAAATGAAAGCAGCAGGTGTAAACCCAGATGCCATGACATTCTCCAGCGTTCTATCAGCTTGCTCGCAACTAGCAGCTCTGGAACAAGGCAAGGCAATCCACATCTCGGTCTCTGATAACGGACTGGAGAGCAATGAAGTGGTCATGGGAGCTTTGCTAGACATGTACGCAAAATGTGGAGCGATGAACGAAGCCCTCTCCGTATTTCTGAAGCTCCCAATCAGGGACCTCGTCTCTTGGACGTCCATGATCACTGCATATGGCTCTCACGGCCAGGCAAAAGATGCCTTGGAGCTGTTCGACGAGATGCTGCAGTCGAGCGTAAAGCCAGATGGAGTCACTCTCCTTGCAGTCTTATCAGCCTGCAGCCATGCAGGATTAGTCGACGAAGGTTGCTACTATTTCAGACGGATGATCGATGAATACAAAATACAGCCAAGGTACGAACATTACTCGTGCTTGATCGACCTTTTGGGGCGATCTGGTAGGCTTCAGGAAGCTTACAATGTCCTGGAAACGAATGCAGAGATTAGAGAAGACGTTGAGCTATTAAGCACGCTGTTATCAGCTTGCTGCTTGCACAAGGAATTTGAGCTGGGGGAAAGAATTGGGAATGTGATTGTCGAGAAGGGTTCGAGTGATCCATCGGTTTATGTGGCATTGTCGAATATGTACGCGTCGTCGAGGAAGTGGAAGGAGGTTGGGAGGGTGAGGTGGAGGATGAAGGAGCTGGGGTTGAGGAAGAGTAATCCTGGGTGTAGCTGGATTGAGATTGATGATCGAATTGCACAGTTCTTTATGGGAGATGAGTGGCACGAGGAGGCTGACATGGTGAGGGAATGTCTTGCCGTTCTTTATGATCATATGGAGAAGGTGGAAAGATGTGGGAAACACGATTTTTCTATATTATTATTATAATCATTATTAGGATAATTCTTATTATGGTTAGTAGTCTTCTAGTAGAATTAGGTTTATTCTTAGGGTTTTCTAGTATTTCCCTATATATATGTACTTTGGGTCATTCGTCAGAGGAGACATAAATTAATAGAAAAGTCATCTTTTCCCAAAACCCTAATCTCTTTTTCTCTCAAATCTCGTCTATCCTCCTCTCTAGAGGCCTCGGCCGTTCTTTCGGTTCTTCCCCAATTCTGTTCCTAATCCCTAATTATCTTCTAAATCCCTAAATCTCTACCAATTTCCAATTTCCCGACACAATCGTTGGAACCCTAAAAATAGGTTTCCTACATCTGGTATCAGAGCCCGGTTCGAGAATTGAGTTTCTCACAACTCTCAACCGGGGACGGGTTCTACAACTGTGATCGTCAATGAGATCTACACGGCTCTCGGACCTCTCATGGGCAGAACTGCGGGACCGGGCCCGCCGCATCGGACGTCGTTGGCTGCCCGAGGAGCCGGCGACCGCGAAGGCAGAGGCGGTGGTTCACGCCGACGACCACGAGCGACCCCCACTGCCGGCCGAGGCTGATTCGCGTGCAGGAGGGCGGCGATCCGAGCAGAGCCCCGCGGCGGTCGTCGTCGCGGACGGAGAGCTCGTGAGTCCGGCCATTGCTACACCAAGCATCATTCACATCGTCGAACACCAGGAGCAGGCTCGGCAGCTGGCCGAGCACGACGCGATGACTGTCGAGATGATGGCCGGGAAGTCGCAGGATTCATCAGCACCACCACCATCGACCACCGTGGCTGTCACCGCAGCTGAAGTTGCCACCATACCGCCATCCGCAATCAAAGAAAAAGAAGCTCTGGTCGCCGAGATTGTTGGCCACCAGCAGCATCTACAGGTGGTCGCGGTGAAGCCAGCCACTGCCACAGTTGATCTCGCTGAGCCGGTCTTTACACTCGCAATTGGCATCGGCGATCTTGAAGGCCACTTGAGGCAAGATGATCGGATCATATCCACTCCAAGAATGACCGAAGGGCAGATCTCGTCGCCATTGAATCTTCCAATCAATGGGTGGAAATTTCGGAGGAAGAAGTCGGGAGATAACGAAGACGTGGGGAAACTCAACCCTGCTGCCTCGCCCCCATTGGCGCTTATCACGTCACATGTTCCAGACCCAGAGATAGCAGCTCCCGTCGAGCCCCCAGTCATCGCCGTCGACGAGCAACGCGTCGGCAAAGCTTCCATATCCGTCAACGCAACACTGGCCAGGAGTGCCGAGGGCCAAGTGAGACTGGCGGAGTGCGACGCCAATCGGCGGATCTCTTCGCCTGAGCTGCAACACACGGGGAGGATGCAGCGACTGGTGGCGAGTTCCTCCGCATCGTCGACCGGCAGGAAGGAGCCAAGGAGAGAGACGAAGAAGATCCTGCCGGAGTCAATTTCTCGCGGCCGCGGGCGTTGTTCGCGGAAGGAGAAGAAGAAGGCGAAGGGAGGAGGCGGTGAGTTTCTTCCCTCGTCGCCGGAGAGAGAGAAGCTGAAGGGAGGCCGTGTCATCGCTCTCCTCTCTAGACTTAGGTCGTCGCCGAAGGAGATCTCACCGGAGAAGAAGACGGTTTCGGCGGCGCTGGGATCGACACCCATCCGGTGGGCGAGTTGTCCGCGGCTGGAGGAAGAAACGAAGGAGAGAGGCAGTGTGGAGCCGCCTCGAGCGTCGCCGGAGAAGAAGGCGAGCACGGCGACGCTGAGATCGCCGTCCGTCCACCTGGTGGGACGACCGCGACAAGAGGAAGAAGCGAGGGAGAAGGGCGGCGGCGGGTTCCTTGGTCTCGCAAACCTCCTGCTGCCTCTCGCCCTAACCCACACAGCCCAGCAGCAACATGACGAAGTGGGCCAAACGAATTGGGCTTCTGATGATGGGGAGAAAGCAGTGGGCTTGTCATTTCAGTTGGGCCGAGCTGCTTTGGTCAATGGGGTTAAAGGGCCAGCTGAGGTGGGTCTTTATCACGGGCCGAAGAAAATGGAGGCTGTGGACTTCAACATAGATGCTGGGTCGCAAGGCAGAATTGGGCCTCATATGGGTTGTCTTATTGGGTTTATTTTGCAGCAAGACAACTTAAGGAAAGAAGAGGATTTGGTGGGCTTAACAAGGGGGCTTTCAAAGGAAGCAAGCCCAAACGAATTGAGGAGTAAGAATGCAGAAGAGCTTGACATGTGGGTGGGCCACAATTACTTCTTTCGAGCTATTGAGGGCCAACCCAAGAGTGCAGGAAAAGAAGTTTGGGAGCTGGTCTTCACCACCATGCCCGCGGCAGAATCAATAGAGTTGTCCATTGAATATTTCAAGCTCGTTAGGGAAGAGGAGTTCAAGGAAGAACAATTCTCTGATCCTTACTTTCTGGAGTTTGAAGAAGAGGATGGAGAGTTATTTGATCATGGTTGCAACTTGCGTCGTCACGTGGATTGGGAGGAAGCCATTGGAGTCGGAGTCGCTGGTGTGGGATTCGTTCAAGTAGTGGAACACAATTGGAAGAAAAGGAAGCGCAAGCAGCGGAGAAGCGATGATTGGATTGGGCGAGAAGATTGGAAGAAATGGGTCAAGTCAGTCAACCTTGAGGGCAAGGTTGGTCTGAAGGGGGAGGAGATGTGGGAAACACGATTTTTCTATATTATTATTATAATCATTATTAGGATAATTCTTATTATGGTTAGTAGTCTTCTAGTAGAATTAGGTTTATTCTTAGGGTTTTCTAGTATTTCCCTATATATATGTACTTTGGGTCATTCGTCAGAGGAGACATAAATTAATAGAAAAGTCATCTTTTCCCAAAACCCTAATCTCTTTCTCTCTCAAATCTCGTCTATCCTCCTCTCTAGAGGCCTCGGCCGTTCTTTCGGTTCTTCCCCAATTCTGTTCCTAATCCCTAATTATCTTCTAAATCCCTAAATCTCTACCAATTCCCAATTTCCCGACACAATCGTTGGAACCCTAAAAATAGGTTTCCTACAAAAGAGGAAGGATGGACAGAGATTGTCTAGTGAAAGTTGAAGAGGTGATCAATAATGACTGCTCGGAAGAAGCTATTTGGACATTTGGGAGTTAGTACTTTGAGAGGCTTAATGCATGGCAGGGATGACAAGAGTATTCATATTCATCGAAATCGAATTGGATGAGTTTAGAGTAAGTTTTGGATGAAATTTAAATCCAACTATTAGGGGATGATTAGATTTGTCATTATTCCGTTTCAAATTTTATACTTATATTAAAAAGATTTGGCATAGAGAGATTCAACGGTCAATTTATATACTATTTTTGTTAGAGTTGTATTGAGATAATGAAATTGTGGTTTAGCCGTTTCATATTGTTGAAATTAGAGTTGGAAAATGGGTTGGATTCATGAATTGGTGATTCATAAATCAAATGGATTAGTGAATTCATAGATTTAATTAAATGTATTGGTGGATCGGATTATCGATTAAAGTGACATCTAAATATTTGATCAATATGTAAATTTTGAAAATTTAGATACTAAATGCCATAACAAAAAAAATTAGCTACCAAAAGACTATTTTCCAATGATAATTTACGTTCAAAAATTACAAGTTAGATACCAAAATATAAAATATAAAAAACATAGATACTAAATTTTATTTTTCAGATATCCATAAATTCACCAATTCAATTAAATTTGAATAAAATAGATTGGACTTAAATGAATCACATTAATTTGATATCTTAGTGGATGAATTGGATTGAATTAGTATATTGAATATAAAAATTGTCACCTCTAACTCAACTTCACCTGTGGATTTCACCCTTAAAATGAAAATTTTCACAAACAATGGTTATGACATGCATGCATACATACACATGAGTGAGTTGATTGGAAAAGAAAGGAAGCAACAACTAACCACTTTGCCCTCCCAGGCCCACCCTTATGCAGATATTTCTTCTAAATTAAATTATAGTTCCCCATGAGAAAAGAAAAGGAAAAAAATAGGCATCCAACCAGCACCTCACAAACCCCTCTGAAAAATTATATCCACTCCCCACAATTGAGTAGATGTGAACATTAGAGATCAGAAATACATCCCCAACCCCCAAAGAGATAACCCAACAAGAACAAAACAAATCAGCCAAGCAGAAACAACAGGAGCAAAAAAAAAATACTAGGACTGGTGGTTGCAGAGAAGAAGCATTTCCATTCATACTATGGCTATGACAAATTGCTTTCAAGTAACCAGCAGTTCCTGCAAGGTTGGAATCTCTGCTCACTGCACCACTGCCCATTCATTTGCCTCACCAGACAAGCTCAACTTCCCGTCGTCATCTTCCTACACCAGAAGAGATTTCAACAACTCATCAGTCACCCTTTTGCCAACTTCCAAACCAAGGAGATCCCACTTCGTTTGCAAAGCTCAAGAAGCTCTTGACCAAGGTTCTTTTCCCACCTCTCTATACCTCATGTTTGTTAACATGTTTTGCTGTATAATGTAGAGTTTGGATTAAGGTCTCGAGTAGTAAATGTTGTTTGGATTTCGAATAGGGGCTAACAAGTCTAGTTATGTTAATTTGGTTAGTTGGTATAGTAATAATGACAATTTGGACGGGAGATATGGATGAAATAATGACAGTTATGTAGTTCAATTAGTGAAAGTTCAGTAGTGGTCAAGGAAGTATTCGGATTAACTGGTTCTTGATATAGTATCAGATCTGGTTTTATATTTTGTGGTCACATGTTCAAGTTCTTACGATTTCCAGTATCAACTGTTGTATTAAAGCACATGGTAATGATATGAGGGGGATTTGCGCAAATTTCAAGTTCATAATGACAGAGATATGCATATAAGAAAGTGGTGAAAACCCCTCTATAGACATCTTCCAACAATTATGACAGTGCACATTCTTTTAACTTTCATAAGAAAGTGGACTGCTGAAGGTTTTGGCATAATGGTTACTTTTGTGCAGTTCAACCAGTGACAGAGCAGACATGGGAGAAGCTGGTGATAGGATGTGAGAACCCAGTGCTGGTGGAGTTCTGGGCGCCGTGGTGCGGACCGTGCCGGATGATAGCTCCGGTGATCGACGAGCTGGCGAAGGAGTACGCCGGGAAGCTGTCCTGCTACAAGGTGAATACCGACGAGTGCCCAAACATTGCTAGCCAGTGTGGGATCAGGAGCATCCCAACTGTGCTCTTCTACAACAAGGGTGAGAGGAAAGAGAGCATCATTGGTGCTGTCCCTAAGTCCACTTTGTGTAGTACTCTAGAGAAGTACATTGATGGTTGAAAAGAAGGGGAAAAAAGAACATAATTTCCTCCCCAATGTCTTTTTTTTGCAAATTCCACCACTTTGTTCTCCAAACATGATGATGGTCTAAGCCACATGTGTATAAACAAGCATCTCTATGTATTTGGAATGCTCCTGCTTTAGCCTCAATTTTTAGAGCACAAAATACTTGAAGTAGTGGAAAGTCAGCATTTGATGAGGAGAGCTCATTCGGGAGTTGGGACTTGGATTCTTAAAATCCAATGATTCCGAAGGAAGCATCCTGTTTTTCTTATTTGAGAATGTCTCTTCGGAAATCTTAAATCTCGAAAAGGTAAGAGAAAATCTTTCATCGATGAGATTTAAACTTCTGACCTTTTCTTTTTAACATTTGTTCCACCAATAAATTTCTTTTTTGTCATTTCTTTGAGAAATCAAATAAAAAAGAAGTGTCCCTTTTTCATCTTATAGATTCTTCTTTGAGAGGACTTACTAATCATACTATCTATCAAGTATCAAGTCAGCTCATAGTTCAAAATAAGGTTAACTCATATGATGAGTTCAACAAGCCACCCATCTAAATTGGCTCACAACCCTTGCTAACCGAATAATGTTTTGACTTGTTAGTAAACTAATTGAGTATCAAGCTTTTCCAGAATTGAACTTTGACACACTCGTGAACAAGTTAGCTCATTTGCAGTGCTAGTCGCCACCATATGCGCTCCCGGTCACAAAGAAGAATGATGAAACGGACATCAAACCGAATACAAGAGGATTAAACATTTCATTGATGATTGGCGGAAAAAACCTATGCTATATGCTTCACTCTTTTCTCTGGAAATTAGTACACAGTGAGTGAACTCCCCCGGGGGTAAAGAGAAAAACTTTAGAAGAAAAATCCCACCCCACCCTTTTCATCCCACGTAGTATTCCCAGCCTTAGTTGCTCTCTCGCTCTCTCGTCTCAGGGGACCCATCAAATTTTCGCCCAACACCCGTGCTCTCTGCACTGTGCCAGCACAAGCAGCAGCAGATCATACAATCAACACAGACAGCCGCGCTCTGCGTCACAACACCATCATCACTTGCAAGAAATACAAACAGTTTGTGGTGTATTTTCAAGGAGACGGTTTCCAATCAAACTGCAGATTATTGAACCCATTAACCGCTCCTAACCCACTAAGCAACTGGTTCCCCAAATCCTGCTGTTGTTGTTGATGATGATTGTGGTGGTGGTGGTGGTGGTTCATCGCTTGCTCTCTCACCATCGATGCCATCGCCATCCTTCCATTCATCATCAACGAGCTGTTATTGTTACTACCACCGCCACCCACCATCGCAGCAGCTCTCATCCCATTCGCCATGGCAACAGGCTGGCCTCCAACTCCACCCCCACCACCCATCGACCCAAATCCACCACCACCCATGTTATGCATGCCGTTGATCATGCCACCGCCGTTGTTGTTGTTGTTTGCCTGCAGAATGCCATTGGTGGTGGGGTTGACATTCTTCACATCGTTCATTTGATTATTCATCATAATATCGTGAATGATCTTCTGGACAGAACTCTGGGAATCCCCATGGTCGCCGTCGCTAGAATGAGCCGGCTGCTGTTGCTGCTGTGGAATATTGTTTGCTGGAGCACTATGTCCAAGTTGTGGAGCGCTGGATGACGAAGGAGTGGGCGACTGGAAAGGAGAAGGATTAGGTGGCTGCTGAGCTGGCACTGTGGTGGACGAACCTGGAGAAGGGGCCTGAGCTGAGTTGTATGGGCTGCTTGCATTATTATTGATGGAGCTTTGTGGTTGTTGTCTTGAGTTCATGGAGTTCTGGTGGAGAAGTCCGACGATGGTGCTTGCTGAGGTGGTTGTTGCCGGTGAGGGATTGAGGGCATTATTTACGGGCTGCATACCATTGCTAGAAGCAATTTGCATTGCCCCTGCTTGGACAGAGCTCGGGTCACTGTTTGAGTTTTGGGGAACTGCCTGCTGCTGATGCGACGGTGGTGCTGGTGGAGTTTGCTGTTGTTGCTGCTGGTCCTCTGATGGTTGACCTTGACCGTTGAACCCAGATGAAGCATTTGTTCTTCGAGGAAACTTGGCCAGACTCTCTGTAAACAAAAGAATAAAATAGATGGAGAAGATGGTCGTTTGATCAAGAGGCACCAACTTGTGGCTCTTGATTAAAACAAATGAAGCCAAATCATAAAGTAGGGAAAGGGGAAACCAATCAACATTACCCATAGGTCCAGTCCCTGTTTCTCGGCTGTAATCAATCAAATCTTTCATGCTGTTAACCACCTCTGATATCTGCAACCAAGAGCCAAAAAAAAAAAAAAGCTAAGATACGTAAGTATGACTTGGTTCAGCTACCAAAGAAACTAGACAGTTAAAGAATATGTCTTAGCAAATTGACAGCTGGTGTACTCTACATTAGAGCATTTGGTACAAGTTTCAGAGATGCAGCAAATTAAACTCTATTTAGAATGATGCTACTTATGCACATCTAAACAGAAGATCAGACAGTGAAAAGTGCAAACCTAAATTCTTGATCAGGTGTACATCACCTAAACTCTAAGGCATTCGGAATTTACCGATTGCGGTTCAATTAAAAACTATAAGCAAGTACTTCAATTTTGACCTACACTGAATGTTAGCACTTGAATCTGTTCAGAGATGGCAGACATCATACTGCTACCAAACCAATAATAAAGGTCAGAGACACAACATTGAGATAGACGCTCCAAGTTGAAAAACATTATGTGATTCAATGGAGTTAAGACACTCAAGGACAAGGAGTAACAAGAGAAAAAGATACCACATGGAACATCAAATGACAGTAAAGTTCATAACAAACGTTCCTCAGATCATCCTACTCAAGAAGCCCTACATGAAAAAGTAATTTCTAATATCATAGTGTCAAGAGAATCTGTATCATATAGCCAGAGGAGATTCCACAAACCACAAAACCAGCATAAGTGAGCTAACATGAAAGTTTGTCAAACAAAAGGGATGTCATCAACATCTTGAGCAATGCTGAAACAGGAGAAAATTATAAGATTACCTGAAGACAGCGAACATATCTCTTCGTATACCCCAAATCATTCACCAAAGGCACTTCCAAGGCTTTTGCAAGCTGGCGAGCCGATGAGACAAACCTGAAAGTGAAAACAGATCAATCACTGCCAACAGCGTTTACATATTATTTACATCCCAGGTCAACAGGATATTCCCTTTTCGGTAGGGAATACTATTGTACAAACATATTTTGTATCAACGCAAGATAGAAACCAACAAATCACTTACATGTTACAATTATTCTGCAACTCCTGAACAGACAAATTGGATGATGTATTTTGAGTGGCAGCTTGATATTTTTGCGCTGCTGTACCAAGTTGACTGACCTGTAAATGTCAACAAAAGTCTCCGTAAATCATTCATGAGAAGGCGCATTCTTACTGAATTTTACCAGAAGTACACACCATTGAGGAATCTAAAAAGTCAACTTACATAAAGTCATAACATGTGAGTAACATATACATATAATAGAAATTGGCCAAAAAATATGTAAATAGGACCACTTAATGCAACAAGCTATGGGGAGTTACTTAAAAGGCTGATGCGATAAAAACTAAGTCATTTTTCTTGCACTTCATCAGATAAATATCTAAAAAGTGGCAATGCACTAAATCAAGAGTTATGCTAGAAACCTGGGGTACAAGCAATCTTCTAGGAATAAGTTCTTCATGACGCCGAGCGCAAAACTCCCAAGAACATATCTGGAGAAGGAGAAAATTCCAAAATGAGTCAGCAAGAAGGCATGAAAAGGTGGTTGGATCCGGAATTCTGTTACAACCATATTTTACCTTTAATTCAGGTGAGAAGACAATTCGCAGTTGACCATCACGAACAACACGAAGTTGCTCAAACACGCTTTCTTGTATTGCTTTTGCATAATCCAAGACAATTTGACCCGATGAGTTAGGATACTCGTGTGGCATATCAACATAAAGTAGTTCTTCCAAAGTGCCGCTTTCATATTTTATTTTGAAAAGCCGGGGAAGAACCTCAACAGTGGCCTCTGAAAGTGCAGTACACAAAATAAGTGCGGGAATTGAGCAAAAGGACAGCAAGTGGCTCATACACAAGAACAACATGAATATACTACACACTGAAAATTATGTACATTTAAAACACAAAGGAAAATAGAAAAAGAACATACCAAAGCCACGACCCGGTTTCCGATTACAGATCTCACAATGCCATACATCCTGCAAATATTAATTGGGCTAGATAAGCAAGAGCCACAAATTCTCTACCAATCCAATACTACTAGTGAACCATTTGAAACACAGCTGCCCATTACAAGATTGGTGTTGAAATAAAAACAAAATCAGGATCCTTAAAACATCATAGACAAAATATAGTGACCTTAAGTATCAGTGACTTTATCCGAAAGCATACCTGGGGGAAAACGCCAGGTGCCTGTCTACCACTTCCATACATAGAAACACACCATTTCTTCCTTGCATTGGGAGCAAAGTACTCCGCTACGAACTTTCTCCAGAATTCTATGTTGTTGTCCTGAACAAAACAGTATCTGCAGTTAAATATCAAAACAGACAAGTCCCAGATATAGCTTTTCCAGCTAAGAAAACTTACTTCAGGTCTATGTTGTTGTTGATACATGTAACGTGTTAAACGTCGGGCACACATTCCAGGTTCATACACAGGTTTTGCCGGAGATCGTAGAGGCAAACTCTGTGGCTGAAACTGTTGTGGTAATTGCGACCGTTGCTGCTGAGGCATTGCTTTCATGAGTTGTTGCTGCTGTTGATGCTGGAGCTGCAGCAGTCTTTGCTGATGCAAGAGGTTGAGTTGTGCAGCAGCCTGAGAAGACTGCCTGGACATGTGAAGAAACTGCTGCTGATGCTGCTGCTGCTGCTGCTGCTGTTGTTGTTGCTGCTGCTGCTGCTGCTGTTGCTGCTGCTGATGCAGGAACAATGATTGGTCTGAGTGCTGTTGTTCTAACTTCAATGGTGCCAACGTTCTCATTGTCTGCATTTGTTGAGGTTCCAGTTTGACAGAACCTAGATTCCGAAGTGGCTGCAACTGCTGCTGCTGCTGTTGCTGTTGTGTTCCATGTTGATCATGTGTCACTTGTGGTTCCATCTTGACAGCACCCATTCCTCCTCTCATTGTCTGAAACTGGTGCTGCTGCTGAGTATTGTGAGAGGCAGAAAACTGCTGCATCGGCTGCTGACTGTGCTGAAACGACTGAGCATCGAGCTGCTGAGATGCCTGCTGTTGATCTGGCAATAACTGGTTATTACCAGAAGGTGGGTTTAAAAACTGCTGACCCTGAACTTGACCTGATGGACCAGCATTGACCATATTTGACGACGGAACGAAAGATGATGAAGGAGAACTGAACCCCATTCCATTAGCCGAAAGTGGGTCTGACTCAGCACCAGTGTCGATACCTCTATGCTGACTGCTTCCAGGAGCAGAAAGACCCGGGTTTTGACCACCATTACCAAATGACTGATTGAGTAAAGACGACATATTGGGCACTCCTCCAAGCATATTCATGTTATTAAACTGACTACGTGGAGAGACCAAAGAAGGGAATGCAGATTGTGAGGACAAAGCGCCTCCTTGAGCTCCAAGCATTCCCGAATTCGATCTCAGAAGTTGAGGAGAAACAGATTGGGACCCACCGATCGGAGTAGGTTGCCCCGACGGAACCATATTATCAAGAATTACAATCTAGGCAAAACTTTCTATTTCGGAAGTAGATAACTAACCTAAAACAACATGAATTGAATTTTTAAACCTAAACTCACATAACAAAGTGACTTAAGTCAAACATAGAGGTGGACTTAGATATCATTTCAACTCCACATCCAAGGCTGGAGAATAGTGAGTCCTTATTGTAGTGTTGTATCAACAAAGACGAGTATGTTTTATGCAGCCTAAGCATATAGAGCTGCGTTTCACCAAACACAAAGTTGGCATGAAGCAAGGGACAACCTTTACTTCTGTACATTCTAGAGCAGCAGCTCTATCTTCTGGAAGCCAGCTGGTAACTGAGCTGCTCTCAGCATGCAGAGCTCTGCGAAATATGGAAAGTTTTTCAGATCTCAGTTTTACCACCCAAGAATTCAGTAGTGACCCAAATAATGAGTAATCGAGGAAAATCTATCGCAGTGATAAAAACTCGGAATTTTAAACCCCGACGCAAAAGAGATAACATTTAGCAGGACCCAAATGAAATTCTCTGACAGAAGAGCTTATTAGCCGGCAGAAAAATGGCTCAAATTCAAATCTGAAAATTCTTCGGCTGACAAAATGAAGTAAAGATGGGATTGCAGAAGCAATCGAAACTTCCTTTAAAATACGCTAAAGCAGCCGGAGCAAAATTGATCAGACTTCCAAAACTATGAATCAAATGATCCAGAACTCCCATATCAATGCGTGGGGAGAATAAGGGATTGGAGAAGTGAATGTTTAAAAAGCAAAGAAATGGTATTGAGCTTAGAACAGCTGAAGAATACCTCGAGAGAAAGATGTGCACACAGAAACTTACCACAAAGAGACTCAAAAGCCGCAAAAGCTCCTCCGTTTAATCAGTATATATCTCTCTCAACCAAAAATCTTCCCAAAATTTTCCCCTTATCAATACACTGGTTTTCACGATTATGGGAGCAAAGCTCCAAACTTTCTGTTGCTCTCTCCACAATCCACTAGGGTTTGCTTCTCCTATAGTTTCTGCTCTCAGCCGGCGGAAAAAAAATCTGGGTTTCTCTCTCTATCACTGAGTATATTTTTTTCCTGCGTTGTGTTTCGCCCTGTTTTCTTCGCTGTGTCTAGAGAGAGAAAGAGATGTAGTGTCTAGAGAGAGAAAGGGAGAGGGGAGAGAGAAAGTGTGTGTATGGTGTCCTTGCGGACGTCAAAATTTGATTCAATCCGATCAAATTCTTTCTTCTTCTGCTGCTCTGCTCCCTTCCCTTCTCCTCTCATTCCCCTTTTTAATTTATATTTTTTTTCTTTTCATTTTCTGTTTTTTCTTTTCATTTCGTCTCTTCCTCTCTCCCAAAACGAAGTCAAATGCTCTTCCTCTCTCTTTCTTTCTTTCCCTTTTCTGCACTAGCTTCCCTAATGATGTATGCTCCGGTCATGGATGTATGGAAGGATGGGCTCATGGATGTCATGCAATCATTAAAAAAAAAAAAAAACAAGCACATGGTTGTGATTCCGGTCCAACCTAATTAACCCGTTCGAATCGACTTATTAATTTTGAATTAATCAGAGAGTTAATCTACTTTCTACTCATAATCTCTCAATTTGACAAAATGATTAACCTATAATTTGTTTTATCGACTTGTATCAACTTATTAACTCAATTGACCACCTTTTTCTCGTGTTTTGTTCCGGACACAGACAGTAAACAAACTCATCAATAAGACAAAATATATTGTTCCCATACAATAGGAATTTCCAAATTAGCATTAACCAGATGCCCTCGCTTATTAACATTCTATCAATTAGCCCTAGATATGATATCCTCTTTACCATATAATCAGCATTAAGTTATTTTTTGAATTCTCATTTTAGGTTTGACCATAATCTAGAGGTTTTTCGACCTCCCTAACCTGACAGTCTTATCTATTCGGCTGTTCCTTCTATCCCTAAGTTCTATATCATGCATACGGGGATACCTTCCACATCATACATGCGAAACATACGTACAACAATTAAAATACGACATCAATAGAGCACTCGCAAGGTAAATTAAGGATTATTCATACAAAAACAAACATCGATATATATTTTAATCAAATCAAATCAGTATATCATAGTTAGAGTTCAACTCATCCAAACAACAAGTCTGTTTAGTTCATAAGGGATTACGAAACAAGCAATAAGAAGAAGAAGAAGAAGAAGAAGAAGAAGAAGAAGAAGAAGAAGAAGAAGAAGAAGAAGAAGAAGAAGAAGAAGAAGAGATGATCTGCATGGTTGATTGCTTCATCGAACGCTCCAAATCGATTTCTTTGGGGGTTGAGCTGCTTGTAAACCTTCTTTTTCTGCCCTCTAACTCATATTTTAGTTTTAGGTAAAGTGTTATTGAAGTCCTCGATAAAAGAGGCTAAAAATCTCTTAAATAGCCATCATATGCCACCTTCCACAGCCAGGGATACGCCCGTCGAAATTAGATTTTCCTCATTTTCCAATGTTTTTAAAAGTATTGTCGAATAGCTCCAAGGTTGGGCCTCGACAATGGGAGACCTTGGAGACTCTCACGGCCATGGCACACCATTGGATACCCTCATAACTGTATTCCTCTCCAAACATGCAATTTCCGATGGAATTGAGCCACGGTCAGCTCCACCAACCGCGGGAAAACCTTGGAGGCCCTCTTTCAATCAACGTAAACACGTCCAAGTGCTCTCCAAGTCATCCAATGCACCAAAACTTCAATAGTTCTGCAGTTCTTGTCCAAATATAATCAAATTCAGTTCCAATGATTTAAAACACACTAAACAATAAAACTAAGATAAAATTGACGAAAACACCAAGATATGGTTGAAAATGACAAAGCAAATGACATTTCAATGCCCAGCTGATGGAAGTGAGAAATGAAGATTGAGTTCAAGCCCAAAATGGCATAGAAAATAGTTGACCATATCCCAAAATGACACCCTAGCCATTGTTTTCCAGAGGACCCAGATCATCCCAGAATTGTGCGGATATTTCTTACTTGAAGGCTAAGTTGGAGATATGTTGGAGAGATTAGGTTATAAGACTTTCACTACTACTTTATCTCTTAAATCTTATGGAAAGGCTATGAATAGACCCAAAATACATGCATGAACTACCACCCCCATCCGTACCCTCCTGGAAAACCATCATTCTAAGAATATTGGTGAGAATGAGTTTCACCCATTGCCTCGGTCTCAAAATACACCTCTGCAAGCCGCATCTGGCTGTCAGCTAGGAATTGTGACATCATGGCAACAACGTCGTCATCATGTATGACAACTTCTTCATACATAACTCTTCCAACACTCATGTTTGGATACCGGTAAGTAATTTTACCAACTCTCGCCTGTCCGCTCATACAAATCCTGTCTGCACAAATGTCACGGAGTTCTTGCCACGTGAATCTCGACTCAATGTTCAACATAGTGGATTTACCGTCTTCATAATCGATCCCAATGACAGGGTTTGTCATCCGATTCCACCAAATAAGAAGCTAAAACTTCTTGAATTTACCCATGTTGTTATTATATGTAACTATTAGCTTAAGTCGAATAAAATTAGTATAGTATAATTAGTACTTGGGGATACACAAACATTATCCAAAACCATATTTTTAGAGCTACGAAAAATAATATCATCCAAAACCATAAACAACTGCAACTAACTAATAGAAACATGAACCATAATTAGCATAACAATAACATGAGTATACTAAACAAATTCATCTAAATTCATAACTAACTAACATCAATCATACCATAATTAATCTAAATATCTCTAACATAACATATTTGCCTTTAACAATAATTCATTAAATACAGACATATAACTACTGAAACATCAAAATCTAAACAATATAATATTATATCATACCAAAAAATTGGAGTTTCTGTAACCGTAGTTGCTGGAAGCAGGCCGAGAAGGGGATTGTTGCTTAAATTTGACAGAAATGGAGGAGATTTTTTAAACAACTACGTGTGGATCGTTTATTTATATGATAAACAACCAACAATCACTGCGGTTGTCCAAGGCGGTCAACACGTTCATTGCATTATTATAATGCGGTGAATGCTAGGTCGTTGTGACCTAATTATTCACCTACCAGGAGTTGGAAAACGTGACAAATGTTCACCGCTCTTCTCAACTCCGGTGATAAATCCACCGTTTTCATTAACAACAGTAATACGTTCACCATTTTTGTTTAGCGCGGTGACGTATTCACCGTTTTTCTTAACCGCGACGATATATTCACCGTTTTCCTTAACCACGGTGATGTGTCCATCGTTGTTATTGACCGAGGTGAAAAATTCGTTGTCGTTCTCAATAACGGTGATTATGTTCACTGTTTTTGACAACGACAGTGATGGTAAAACATGTGTAAATTAAAGTTTTTTTTAGAACTCGTGTATTAAGGAGAAAAATCCCAATAGCCTGTTATTTGAGAAATACTAGTCCTCCCCATAATAGGTTTGCGATATTTGGAGAATAACCAGAACCAAAAGTTTTATCTATTTCTTTTCTAATCATACGTGTTATTTTGGATCAAATACCCTAAGACACCCACATACCGGAAAAAATCCAAAAGTATCACTGTTTAAACAAAAAATTCCAAAAATACCACCAAACCCCAAAAAATTCCAAAAACACCACCCTTTTTCAAAAACCGCCACCCCACCCAGCGGTTTGGTCGAAAACCGCTTGTCGGGGGAGCGGTTTTGGACCAAACCGCGGGCCTAGGGGGCGGTTATAAAAAAAAAAAAATGGACCAAACCGCTGGGTGGGGTGGCGGTTTGGTCCAATTTTTTTTTTCCGGCCAACTCCTAACTTCGGTCAAAACTTCAAACAAACGTAACTTTGCACTCGGGTATCCGATCGTAGCGATTTTTTTTCATTTCGCATAACTTTTCAAGATCTACAACTTTTACTAGGATGAAATTTTCAAATCAGGAACTATTTGTGGATATACGGGACCTTGAGAATAACTTTACCTTTACTTTTCAGAAATCCATGTACATTTTGAAATTATGATTATATTAAAAGTTGTAGATCTTGAAAAGTTATGCGGAATAAAAAAAAATTCATGACATTCGGATTTTGGAGCACAAAGTTATGGCCGCCCAAAGTTTGACGAAATAAAAAAAAAGGTCGTTCGGTGTGGCAAATGACGCTTTTTCGAGACGAAGACGGGACCCGACTGTTTGAGACTTGCAAGATCTCAAAAAGTTATTCGGATTCAAAAAATGGAGGCAGCAAACTTTTTGAGATCTTGCAAGCCGCAAACCGCCGGGTCATCAAACTTTGGGCGGCCATAACTTTGTGCTCTAAACTCCGAATGTTATGAACTTTTTTTTGATTCCGCATAACTTTTCAAGATCTACAACTTTTAATATAATCATAATTTCAAAATGTACATGGATTTCTGAAAGTAAAGGTAAAGTTATTCTCAAGGTCCCGTATATCCACAAATAGTTCCTGTTTTGAAAATTTCATCCTACTAAAAGTTGTAGATCTTGAAAAGTTATGCGAAATAAAAAAAAAAATCGCTACGATCGGATACCCGAGTGCAAAGTTACGTTCGTTTGAAGTTTCGACCGAAGTTAGGAGTTGGTCGAAAAAAAAAAATTGGACCAAACCGCTGGTTGGGGACTTGGGGTGGCGGTTTTGGGCCAAACCGCCACCCCACCCAGCGGTTTGGTCCAATTTTTTTTTTTTTTAATAACCGCCCCCTAGGCCCGCGGTTTGGTCCAAAACCATGCCCCGACAAGCTGTTTTCAACCAAACCACTGGGTGGGGTGGCGGTTTTTGAAAAAGGATGGTATTTTTAGAATTTTTTGGGGTTGGGTGGTATTTTTGGAATTTTTTTTTTAACAGTGGTACTTTTGGATTTTTTCCCCACATACCACATCAAACGACCGATTAATCAATGTCCGTTAGATGGTAATCAATCCAATTGGCCCAATGATCGGTAACATTGACAGACTCACGTCAAACAGACTCTCCGAGTGAGATAAAAACACCCAATCACTGAATCGATTTATTTTTTGTGACAACTAAAACAGAGTTCTCTATCTACAGCGTTACAAAAGCCCTCATGCATCCTACAACATAGCAATGGCCACTAGAAGAACAAACCCGACATCATGTGGCTTTAACGGCTGCATCCACCTTGCTTTCCTCTGCTGGCAAGTTAATTACGTTCGTTCCGTCCATTTCGTTCCTCTGTTCTCCATCAGAAGAAGTCGTCCCATTTTGGACCGCAGGGGCATCACCATTTTCCATTACAGCCTTCTCTTCTGAAATTTTCGCTGGCTTTGGGAGCTCCCTGGAGGAAGCCGTGGCTAATAGGCGGCCGACCCCATCGAGTACATTCTTGGCATCCATAACAAAACCAGCCCCTCCTGGATAGCAGCGGCCAAAGCATGCAGCACAATGCGGATGGACAATCTGCAGATAAGGAATTTTCAGAGGAAGGACAGAGAGTTGTAGCACCCTAAGGAAAAAAGACAGAAGAACCAGCATAGAAGAGTGTCTACCTCTATGAATGCTCGGCAGAGTGAGAGGAAAAGTGCAGACTCGGTTTCTCTGAGCATCCTAGTGGCGTTGTACCTTAACAGAGAGTCTGCAACAGCTTCCAATCCCTTAATTAATTCTACACCAAGCACATGTTTCAGACTTAGTGGAGCACACGGGCGCAGCTCGTTCATTGCAGCGGACACACCTACAACCAATAAAAAATACCAGGCCTTAAGGTCACAAGCACAGCAAACAACCAGCAAAACCACAATCAGTATTCTTTATGACGCACCCTAAGATCAAGAGATCAGTAATTCAGCTCTACAATAAAACTACTTCATAGACAAGTCAACAGGGGGGCCATGATTTGGGTCATTGAGCCGCCACATAGTAGAGTCCGTAGCAATAAGCATCACGCCACCAATGCCCCCGGAAAGAAATTGAATTGAAAAGTGAACATCTTCTAACATACCATTAACAAAAACTGCTAGAGGTGGATGCTCCATTAGATACGGTGGTGGAGATATGTCATCGTGGGTCTCTTCACCCATATTACTAGCTGGAAAGCCAACTGCTGGCATTGGCACCCAGCGATGTGAATCTAAAACCAACTGATGTGAAGACATACATGACGTTAGACAGAAGGTTGGAAACAAAATAAAAATCAGCTGATAAATGCATGGCCTAGCTACTAAGCAAATCCCCACCTGAAAATTTTCAACTGCTGTACCCATGTTCTTTGAGAATAAATTGAGAACTGCCCTGCAAAATATCAAGCCTTGTTTTACGAAAGGGAAGTTCGGACAAAGCAATACGAGTTAATAGAGAAAAAAATTACTTACTGTTCAAATAGAGGTGGAAGCAAGCCTCGAAAATCCAACCCTACACCACCAAGTCCCATTGCACAGTACTGTACATAGCACAACAAATAGTCATAAACCACCATAGAGTAAATTGAATAAGGAAGCATCACAAAATAAAGTACAGAACTGGAATAAATCTATATCACCCTCATAAAAAACAGCACAGGTCTGGAAATACTCACCATGCACTGGTCCAGAATATTTGATAGTGGACCACCCTCAGTTATCTTTGGGAGCATTATTTTGAGAGTTTTAAGGTGTGAAGTGATCTGATGCATGGCCCAACTGAAAAGAAGTCCACCATCAGAGTTTTCTTCACTTCCTGATGTATCATCAGCAAATATTGCCCGGTATTGGTTTACCACATCGAAGAGATGCATTCTGTGGCAGTTTATCACTCCCTTCAGGAACTCATAAGCATTCCTTTGGTCCAGATCCTCAAGAATACCTGTAAGCCATGCCTCCCGGCATCTCAGAAACTGAAACAGAATACATTTTCTTTTATCAGGATTACACATTGTGATAACAAAATGAAGAATAATAAGCAAATTTACTGCACTAGATTACCTGCAGACGCAGTTCATACTCACAAAACACTCCTATTCTACGCAAGTAGCCAATAATACGGAGGCACTCCGGCAACTGCATAAAAGAGACAAACAAACATGAACAAGAACTAAGATAAGACAATGGCTGTTAAACCAACCAAACTTACAGCCAATGTTATAGTACCTGAACATTAGAACAAAGTTTCTGGAGAAGCTGAGCTAGAAGAGACTGGGTTGTCTGTCTAACTTCAGCTGCTAGAGCCTGGATGACGGGTAATCTTTGAGAATGAGGAAAAGTCAGATCACTCATCTTCTCCAACGTTCAACAATAAAAATAGTGTACATATACTCACTTGGGGTGGACTGTCGCAAGTTTGGCAACATATGCTTCTAAGTCAAGAGCTTCATCATAATTACCATTCCTCACACACCTATCATATACAACAATGAATAAATTTGTGACCATATTACAATAGACATAAGCAGATGTGAAAATATACATCTTTGAGTTCTCATTGTTTCTAGTTAGAGTGAAAATTCTAACCCCTTTCTGACCCTATATAAAGTTCTAAATGCAGGGGAAAGAATGGAAAACTTTACAACATTCAGGAACAGACATTTCCATGCATCCAGTATCTTGGTTTTCATCAAGGCATAACAATTAGTAGTAACTTGGCAACAAATCCTGGCTCAGCCTTCAACATAAAGTTTGTCAAGTACATACGTGTCCATAAGTTGTGGAATTTCAAGTAAATCAAGCAATGTGCTATGGTTTGAGAGCAACGTTTGGTTCATCTTTCGCTTCTCCAGGACCTCTTCTGCGGATTCAATGAACTCAGTGCAGCCAGATATTAATTCAGGGATTTCAGAGATCTGTAAAAAAAGGGAAGGAAATATCAACTGACATCCTGATGAGCTCAGCAAACTATAGTATGAAATCACTGAGAAGAAAGGTATTGAATATCCCCTTCAGGAAGACACCATAGGATGACATGTTCACTGCAGCTACAGAAGATTAGGGAGTTTCCTCTTACTCTAGTTTCCCAATAATATTGCAGTGTAAATATCTTTCCAAAGAAAAATAGCGTCCGAGAGATAATGATTCAGACTTATACCAATGCAGTCAATGTAATATATTAAACTATCAATTCACATAAACAAGGACATGACAAAGAAAAGAGCAATGCATGCTTCAAATAACCAACTTCCTGCCTGCATTATGTGAGCAACCAGCATAAAAGATGAAGAGGGTAGCTTTGGTATTAGTCATTCTTACTAGTGATTCCAGAAGCTTATCAACATTGGACACTTCTTCTCTAATCGCATTTAAAGCATCCGTGGCAACAATGAAGGCATGGTAGTTCCCCACTGCCACCTCCTGCATTTGTCTCTCTATTCGCTCAGCATCAACCCGCAGTAACTCAGGTTCCTTGCAATGCCACATCGGAAGCAAGTTAAACTAGTGCTTAAGATTCCCCGAGAATTTGAATAGACAAGACAAAGCAAAAACAGAGAAATGGGGAAGAAACTATTCATGAAATTCGCTTACTTTGTGGAGTCGATCCAGAGTGAAGGATAGAAGCTCAGACACGTAAGGCTGCTGAGAGGCGGACGCAAGAGGAAGTAGGGTCGCCATAACCGATGCTTCGTCCCCATTTTCAGCTCCCATTTCTGCTTCAATAAGTTTGAAGCCAGATGGAGTCAAAATCTATAACTGAGATAGGGGTTCGGCAGGAGCTGGATCTTCAGAGAAAGGATTGCATACTTCAGCGAATTAAGGATTACAGTACAACTAACATAATAGTTAACATAACAGCCAAGGAATTTTATGGAGAAAAGCTAATTGCAGAACCTACATTGAACTCTCCTGTAACACATACTCAATTACTCAAAACTGTTCACACTTACAAATCTCATTTCCTTCTATTATCACCATTTCATAGGAAAAGGAAGCCAAAATCAAACTCACCGATCGAATGCAGCAACAGATCGAAGAATTGGGCAGAGTCTCGAAACAAACTTCACATACGTCGAATGGGAAGAGAGGCCGCGGCGCCAGCGATTGCGGATCAAGCGGCTGCGGCGGCGGCTGGAAGGGCAACGAAAGGAGCGCGGCTACGATTTGTGAAGATCTAGCGAGACGATATGACTTGCCGGAGGCAAGCTCGGCGGCAGCAAAATTGATGGATCTCCGATGGAAGGCCGAAGGTGGACTGAGAGATGGAACGAGTGGCAAAGTGGGAATTGGGAAGAGAATGGTCCTCAGCTTGGCAATTGAAAAATCAAAAATGGGAATTGGGTACCACTTTGCAGTTATCCAAAATTGTAGGGACTATACAATATTTTACCTCTATGCAAAGGAATGAATAAATAATTTTCCCTAGCGGAAGAATTAAACAATAAACATGTTCATGGTTTGATTGAAGTCAGAGATGCTAGGATGAGATGGGATTTTTTTGTTTTTTACTTTGCATTGCATGTCCACCACCTGTTTGCTGAATTGCCCGACTGAAATTGTATGTGCTCGTACTTCATTAATTTTGAGATTTTTCCAATAATAGCACGTTAAAAAAAATTACAAAACTAGCATTCAGCCGGAAAAAATTACACTAATAGCACCATTTTTAATAGACCGCACCTCTAAGGTGCGTTTTATAAGTAAACCGATTGATATAAAATTAAGTGATCAAAATTGATATCAAATTTTTCTAGTGACTAAACATAACACGATTTAGTAATCACAATGACCAAATGTGGCATTTACCCTTTAAATTACTACATATTTTTAAAAAGTATAAAACAGCTTAAACCGGCCGACCCCCAATAAGACCAATAAACCTCAAACCACTTACTTGATCGATTCAATGACTTAAACATGTTTGACACCCCGTTCCTGCACTGGAATTGGTCGAACTCATTGGGCTTTATTGCCCAATAAAGGGTCAAAATGATCGGGCCTCAGCCCTCAAGGAGCATTCGTTCAGACTTACAAAACTCGTCTCTAAAGTCAATCAAGATACTGACGGTATAATGTCTGTCGCCACATCAGTTGCATATATACAACTGTATAATTCGTCAGTATGGTATTGATTGGTGTTGGTACGTCTACGCCTATATCCTTTTGGGGTTTGTTCAAACAGTAATTTGTCTGTTTTCTGCAACAACAAAAACAACAGTATTTTGTTGCTAGGAAACGGATTCTCTGATAAGATAATATATGAAGCTATCATCGTATTGATATTGCGCCCACTACTGAATAGATAAGGACGTATCTACGCTAGGAGCTACCGTTACAGTCCTCCAAACAAATTCATGATTGATATGAATGAAATGACTCGATTAATTAATCAACTCATTTTTGCCTTAATTAATCAGCTCACGTAGTTAAATTTGCATGGTGTTATTGTATCTAATCATGTCCCACGATTCACTTGGAACGTCAACGTCACATGTTTTCAAAGGCTCTCGCGTAGGAGTAGGGCTGGAAGTTTGGTACCGGTATTTGGGATATACCGAATACCGTACCGAATTTGTCTATATTTGGTATTACCGAATACACGTATTATTTTTTGGGATTGGGATTGAGATTGAATTTCAATTGTTATTCGGTATTAGTGATTACGGGATTGAGATCGGTATATACCGAAAGACCGATCAATACCGAAATATAAGCTAGTGTGTATTTTATCCTCTCATCTAGACTCTCTCATTCACTACTACACGAACCTAAACCACCAAGAGTGTCATTTAATTATACATAGATCATTCTAACACTATTAATAGTCGTCTCCCAACCTCCAATTCGTCAAATTAACGATTACCAATGACAAGAACTTGAGATGTCTCCTCTCCTCCATTCTCCTTAATAATATCCTAATTCAAGACACTTTGCTTAGTATTTTCCCCCTAAATTAAACAATAAAATCTAATTTATATATTTAATTATTAATTACAAAGGTAATTAATTTTGTATTCGATAATACCGATTGGGATACCGAAGTACCGATTGGGATACCAAAATATTTAGGGATTGGGATTGGGATACTGAAGTTATTTAGGGATTGGGATTGGGATTGACTTTAGGGTATAATTCGGTATTCGGGATTTCGGTATTTGGTATTGGGATACCGATACCATACCGATTTCCACCTACGTAGGAGAGTCTGGTGGTTCTGGATACCGGAGAGGCTGAAATTAGGAAATGTGGATCAACTTAATTTGTACACAAAATGGAGATTACTGGCTCCACCACGGTATTTAGTGAGTGACCAGAAGAGAAGGCCCCCAACAACTTTTGGTTTGCATATATGAAATCGACACCTTGCATGTATGTTGCGCCTAACATACACATGTAAATCATGCATATGTCCTAGTCCTGGTACTGGTCCTGACTCCTGACTTAGCTTAGCTGGTTAATTAGGACCACAATGGTGACATTTTTTTGTTGTTGTCGACCACCTAAAATTGGGATCAAATATTGCAAAATTTGGCAAGTTCTCCCATATGATTCTATGCGAACAAAGCAAAGAATTGTAAAACTGTTCCACTCTAGTGTTTTGCCAAGTCAATCCTTTTCCTTTTTTATTTTTCATTTGGCGGATGAAAATTCTTCCTTGTGCAGGGGCTTGCGATCATCACAATCGGCAGCCAGCTACGTACATTATCCCTCTAATACACTAAGCTGGTGTTTTATAGTAGCTCTACAGTATGAGAAATATAATGGGGGAAATTACAAACCGAAGAGACCAAGTTCCCCAAAAAACCTTTCTGGCTGAAAGTTTGCCGTTCTTTCTTTCTCTCGCTTGCTTCTACACTTGCTCATCTTGGGATCCATTGATGGCGGTTGGCGGGCCAGCAGCTCGTGGTCCAGCGTTGCCATTAATATGGTTGCCTCCTTGCCTGGGTTTCTTCTGGGAGCCCATCTCCATCGCCGATTCCTTCTCTGCATTGCCGCCCTTCTTGCTGTCTTCCCCGCCGTCGTGGTTACGGTAGATGAAGTAGAGGATCAGTTGCATCACTCCCAATCCACACCCGAACCCATTAGGTATCTGAAAAGTTGTTTTCAATTCATAAACAGAGAGACACGAACAGAGTATATTGGTCAATGAAGCACGTAAGATCCCATTCTAAGCATACTTCATCCCGAAATTAACAACAATCAGAATTAGTAATTACTAATGATGGAGATGAGAATAAACGAACCCAATTAAGGGTGTGAAATGGATTTTACTTACGGCGATGAAAGGGTCGCCGCCGAGGAGCCCAAACACGAACCAGGAAGTGCCGCACAGGAACACGAACAGTGACAGGAAAAATGGCATGAACTCCACACTCTTCGTTTTGATCACCAGCCTCTGCAGCAGTAGTCAGTTCTTAGCAAACCCTCAAATTTTCAACTCAATCATGTTCAAACAAAAATTAATCCATCTTAACAGAAAGTAATTATCCAATCAAATCACGGATACAAACAAAATAGAGACCCTTCCCTACCACCAAGAAAACACGAAAAGGTTAAAAAAGATTGCATTTTTACTCTAAACTGTCACTTACAAGAAAAGGGGGAGGATTAGTTAAGTGTTTAATAATTCGCCCATGTGGGAAATCGATGAGATCACTAAGCTTGATTAATTAAATGGGGAAACTTACCATGATGGAAAGAGGGGAGGCGTACATGATGATGGAGAAGACGGTGGCGGCGATGCCACAGAAGAGCTTGCGGGTGTTGCCGTGGAGGGCGAAGACGGAGACGAGCGCGACGACGGCGAAGACGCCGAGGACGGCGGCGAAGAGGCCGCCGATCTTGGCCCTCACCTTGTTGGGGGCGAAGACGAGGAAGAGGAGGACGTAGACGATCTCGATGGCGGCGCCGGTGCCGTTGATGGTGGAGACGAGGAGGTTGTTCTTGGAGACGAACGGGAGCCCGTACCAGGCCGAGAGCAGGCAGTTGAGCAGCGTCATCACGTAGGGGACGCCGGAGAATTCCTCGGTCGTCCTGTTCTTGATTATCCGCTTGAAAGTAATCCTGCCAAACGAATAGGAATAATCCCCCAGTGAGGAATTTCGTCGAGCACCGTGAATGCAAACATAAATTAAGCTCTGTTTCTGGGGCGAGGAAACTGAATTGAATGGGTACACACTCACGTTGGTGCGAGGAAGAGGAAAAGAGCGAAGGCGTTGCCTGTAAGCAATTCAACGACCAAAAGGGAACGGAGAATCAGCAAAACGAGGGAAAAAAAGAAAGAGATTGCGAAGGAGAAGGAGGGGAAAGAAGAGTTGCAGAGAACAATACCCAGAATCCCGAAGATGAAGTGGGGGACGTCCTGCATTGTGCGGTTGCTAGTTCTTCGTTTCTTTCTGGTTGATCGGAGGTTTTGGGATACGGAATCGGCTGACGTCGTAGCAGAGAAAGAGAAGAAGGGAAAGGGGGAAATGAGCGAAGAAGAAGAAGATAAGTGAGGGAAGAGAGTGGCGGTTGAGTTTGGTCTTATATAGGACCGGAAGTAACCGCGTCGGCAGGGCAGGGGAGCGGGCAGTGTACAGTACAGAATTGGTATTATACACTCTGTTTCTTTGCGTCGAGCGAAGTATTTGTGCTTCCCTCGGAGAATTGGTTTAATTACGGACAAGGTAAATTGTTCTTATTCACGTGCAGACTGCAGAGTCTGCAGAGCTAAATATTACAAACACTAGAGGAGCAATTAAACAAAAATCAAAGATGATAACTAAGGAGTTAATAGCCGGCCGGCCTCCAATCCAGTTGTTGTGATGCTTGGTGGTGACAACGAATTGGTTGTGTGGATGTTTTAGGGTTTCAAGCCTACCCCCTTTCCTTCTTCTCGTTCCAGATATATAGACCAAGCTACAATCCAAAAAACATCCAGCTACTGTTGAAAAACAACTACAGTACGATGAATAGTAAAAACAATTGCCTTTCATTGGTTCCTAAAAGCTCCAATACGTGCGCGCGAACACGTGACACTTGGATCTGCTTCGGAGAAGGATGGAACGACGACGCTTCACTTAATTAGTGGGAGTGTCTTCTTCTCCTGAACCGGGTTCGAGTCTTGGAGAAGAAAAATCTTGTTCGTTTCTTTTGTTACCCCCCCCCCCCCCCACACACACACACAAGCTAGAGGGTACAGATTCAGTACCCCCAAGCTTGGAGACGAGGAAACTAAATGGAGCAGGAGAGAGAGGCTTGGCTAAGAGATTAGCGAGCTGATGATCAGAAGCAACATGGAGAACCTTGATCACACCAACAAGAAGCTTCTCTCGAACAAGATGACAATCAAGTTCGATATGCTTGGTCCTTTCATGGAAAGTGGGATTCTCAGCTATATAAGTAGTTGACTGATTATCACAATAAAGACTAACTGGATGTGGATGAGGAACCTTGAAGTCCTGCAGAAGAAACAATAGCCATTAAATTTCACAAGTAGTGTAGGCTAGAGATATGTATTTAGCTTCACATGAACATCATTACACAGTGGTTTGTTCCTTGGACTTCAAGGAAACAAGTGATCCTCCAGGAAAAACACAAAACTTTGTTATGGATCTCTGTGTATCAGGACAAGCTCCCCAATCTGAATCACTGAAAGCCTTAAGAGTGAGAGAGGACTTGACAGGAAAGAAGAGACCATGACCTAGATTCTTCTTAATGTACCTTAAAGTCCTGGTGACACCCTTTGTATGAATCACAGATGGTTCACTCATGTACTGACTAACCCGTTGAGTAGCAAAACTGATATCAGGTCTTCTTGTTGTGAGATATATGAGTTTTCCAACAAAACTCCTTTATGCAGTAGGATCAACTAGATCACTTTCATCATTAGTACTCAGGTGGAGCTTGTAATCCATGGGAGTTGTCATTGGTTTAACTCCTAAATGACCAGCTGCATGCATGCATCAAGTAACTCAAGAGCATACTTACGTTTGGACAAATGAATAGCTTTAGGAGATCTTGCCACTTCAAGACCAAGGAAATACTTAAGGACACCTAGGTCCTTAATGTTGAAGGCCTGGTGTAAATGAGATTTAATTTTGGTAATCTCCTGTAAATCACCCACCACAATCAAATCATCGACATAAATGAAAATAGCAGTGTATGATGTATCAGTGATCTTGGTGAACAAGGAATGATCTTCTTGACTCGGTGAATATCCTTGTTGGAGCAAACCGTTAGACAATTTAGAAAACCACTGCTTGGAGGCCTTTTTAAGGTCATGAGAGACTTGTGTAGCTTACAAACTGGATTGAGAATATGAGGGGGAGGTGTTATACCTTGAGGTAAAGCCATATAGACCTCCTCATTGAGATCCTCATGTAAGAAGGCATTATTGATGTCTAATTGATGTAAATACCAATTCCTAGCTGTTGCAACTGCCAAGAAGGTTCTTACTGTTATCATTTTTACTACGGGAGCAAAAGTGGTATGGTCGGTTATACCTTCTCATTGAGTGTACCCCTTTGCAACAAGTCTAGCCTTGTGTCTCTCAATATCACTATCAGACTGATATATGATCTTACACACCCATTTGCACCCAATCTTCTTCTTTCCTGTAGGCACAGAAACCACAGGCCAGGTTCTATTATTCTCAAGAGCACCAAAATCTTGGTGCATTGTTCCAGACCTCATGTTGTGCTGCCTGCTCATAGGTTTCTGATTCTGATTGAGCTGATATGGCAAGCACAAAATGTCTGTGGGCAGGAGTGAGTTTAGTTTAGGCAAGAGAGTTATGAATTGGATACCCGGAACTTCTTGTTGATGGACTTGTCTTGGATTCAAACAACTGAGACATGTGAGTTATTCATAAATACTGAGATGAGTGGGGGCTTTAATGGTTCTAGGTGGAAGAGTCTTGGTAGGAATAGAAGAAGAAGAGACTGTGGAAACTGGAAACAGACTCAGTTGGTGGCAAATAAATTGGCGGTGGTGTCTTTAGGAGACTATAACTGTCATCACTACTATCAGTGGCATCAGTGGTGTCTTTAGGGCACATAACACTCTGACGGGAGTTAATCGATCACGCCTTCAATTTGTTACTGTTTACTCATAGCTTTCCCAACACTTGCTGGATTGAAAGGTTTAAAGAAATATGACCTAATGCCATACCTAGAATAAATGGGTGACCCTATCTCAAAGTCAATTTCGGATACACATAATCAAGGAATTTGGTTTATTTTATTACATAGGTGTATGCAATCCCTCTTCGAATAGGTATTCTCAACTCTTGTTGATTAAGTGGGGATTGTTATAATTAGTCTCTAAGCGTGAGAAATACCACATAGGAATAAAGGAAGTGATAAAGCCTCCTCATACTTTAATGCATCAATGAAGTGGTTAATGAGTTTTTTTGAATCATCTATGCAATTTAATAATATATAGTAAACCACACCACTACGCTCTTAGCATGTTTGCTTGACACACTCTGGAATAGATTTTTGAGTGCTTGATTAATTAATTTTGGATGAATTTAATTTTGTGAAAACGATGTAACCCCTCGGAAGAGAACTACTACTTTCACAATAAAAAGTTTGTTGTTGCCACAATTCTTTTTCAACGTTCTTCTTTTTCCAAGTTTTTCATTCTCAAAATCATACACAAAGTATGAAAGATTGCTGCTTCTAGACTTTCATAAGATGGACTCCTGTGATGATTTGCTTGTTTCTTACCAGCAATTCGTAGTAGAGGCAAATAACACTCTAAAAAAGTGATTCTATCACGCCTTCGATTCGTTAGTATTTCCTATAGTCGTCCTAACAATTCTACATTGTTATTCGTAGAAAAGAAAAAAGATTATGGAGTGGAGACTACTTTGAGACGTATACTTCTGATTCCAACAAACTTCATTGGTTTGATGAAACCAATTCCAACAAACTTCTGATTCCAAAAAAATTAAATTTTTATTGTTAATTAATTGATTTATTATAATGTACAATATGTAAATGTGAGGACATTCTTAGAATATTAAAAGTTCAGGAGGACATATGAGAAAAATGCTATTATGGTTTTATGCCATGTTTCAAATCTCACATCAATATCTGGGATTTACAAGTTCGTGGAGTCTACGAATTTGATAAAAAATTGCAAGCAAACAATAGATTTGCTTTAAACTAAAAATGGATTGGATTTGGGTAATATCCATTATACAAGCCCACGTAAGCAAATAACCCCTAATTATATATTGTACATGCTGGATCCTGCTTTAAAATCAGGCACCAAAGACCAAACTGTTAGGTCCAAAAAGCATTATATCTTCAGATTTCTAGACTATTGTAAAGGGACAGCACACTACTAATTAATGAACAACAACCTTTCTGTCTTCTAGATGATCAAAGAGTTCAAATTTGTTCACAATCATTGTCTTTGGGATTGTTCATTGCAATTCTTTTAGGCCAAAACCAACCGAATACAGCGAAAATGCAAATAAGGTAACTCAACAAAAACCACAATATAAACATCACAATATACTTTTCTTTTATAATTGACTAGTCATGTAAATCTCCTTGGTAATACTAATAAGTAGGTGTGCAACGGTTTGGTCCGAAACTAATCCTATCGGACGAAATCAACATTTGAACTGGACCATACTAAACATAATATAATATAATACGATTCGGTTCTTGGCCTCATATATTTATAAATATTGAAGAAAAAAATCAAATTAATATTAGAATCTGACCAAATTGGACCACACCGGATCTAATGCAATGACAGTATGGTCCCTTCATCCAATTTTTTTTTTTTTACTATTGGACCATAATTCTTATGCATGGTTTGGTCTGATTCGTTTCAGACCAGACAGTTGCACAATCCTGATAATAATCCCGCTCAACTTCTATATGCAGTTAGAAAAAAAAATCTATAACAAATTTGAGATATAACGTAATCGAAAGCCATTTAACCTAATTATCAATTACCACAAATCTTTACACATAAATTCTTTTATTCATCTTAATCAAATTTATTACTCCGCCGCACCTCCTAATACGTGTCGACCCTTCCATGCTGCAGGACATACATGGCTGTGAAGGATCAGGAACAATGATCCATGATATACAATATACATGGCCTGGGATCTTAGCACCAAGGAGTTTTCGATCCCTATCTAGCAAAACACCTTGCTGCTAGGTGATCCTGAAGTGGTGATTCGGCATCTGGACCGTAGAACAGTGGAAGTTTCGATAGGCGGCTCACTGCTCCAAGAGTGTCATTGGCTCCCAGTTTCATGCTCTCTTTGTATAGCTTTTAGTGTGGTTCTGCGGACTGCCAACTGAGCTGCCCATAGAGTGGCACCTAAAGCTCTGTTGCTGTCCTCTTTAGAGGTAGCGTCCTTTGATTTTGTAGGGTGGCTTCACTAAGTGTTGCTTTGGGTGGGGTTTTGGGTAGAGGTTTCTAACTTTTTTTCTCTTGTCATTACTTGGAAAAAGAAAAAAAAATACAATATGCATGAAAACAGGCGTGGAACATTCTCCGTGAAAATGATGAAAACATGTATGTTTGATAATTATGAAATGATTTCTAGCGAATTGA